GGCTTCATGAGGCTTTGTGGAAGTCGATGAATGCAATGTAGGTGGGTTTCTCCTTAGCCTTACAACGTTCTACAATCTCATACAAAGCTACAACCAGCCTCATACATTCCTCATGAGAATGGAAGTCAGCCTGCTCCTTCATGATCAAACCACAAGCCTCCAATGTGTGCGATACACATGCTCAGTAGTCATGTTTAGTGCTATCTGAAGCAGCACCTTGAGAGCCTCTAAAATCAATGCAATCTCTCTCTCATTGCTCATAGCTCATTCCACTTGGGATCATCCTTGTTGCTCTCCCCTGCACTAGCACTAGGACCTTGGCAGCCCCCTAATGTGATGGTGACCAGAATTGTATGCATTAATCAACATGTGGTCTGACTGGGGCACTGTACAGCCTGAATATGTTGGAGGATCTAAACTCAACTGATTTAGCAATATAGGCCAGTATCCTGTTCATGTCATAAGAGGAAGCACTGAGGAAATGGGAGACACAACCGAAAGCTATCATAGCAGAGATTAGGAGCGAGAGGAGGCCATTCAGCTTCATGAGTATGCTCCATTAGTTTATTAGATTATGGCAGATGTTTCAGGGTCTGCAAAGTTTCTGCTTCCCTCCAAATGTAACTAACTAAAGATCTTAGAATATTTATATAACGTTACTTTCCATGTTACAAGTATTTATTCATTTGCTTTCCATAATTCAATCAACATACTGTTGCAACAGAAATAACAAACTGTTATAGAGACACTATAATTGCAACACAATTTAGGACAACACCATAGACAACAGTTACGATCTTTCTCAAGACTTTCCTCTTTGACCGAGCCGTCAGTCATCTTCCCCCCCACCTCTTGACATCCCCCCACCCCACTGACCCCCATCCCTCCTAAATGCAACCCCCAGCTGGGGTACAAACCCTCAACTGCCAGCACCTCGAGACATCTTCGTGATGCGAAAGCCACTATATAAAATCAATTTGTTGTTGATAAATGGCTCATGAAGAAATAGCACTTTAAATAAAACTATAAGATTACAAGAGAGCAACATCAAGACATTACTACTGCATGAAACAGATTCTTATTATTTGGCTGCACTCCTCATACCAGATTGGGAGTGAGGAGGGATCAAATGGATCTCACGAGGCTGTCATGAAGAAAAGAGCAACATCTTTACAACTTCTTTCCCCTTCCCCCTCCCCAACTTGGCAATCAACTGATCCTAAAGTACGTGAAAGATAAAACAAATTAAGAATAATTGTTTTTCATCAATCAGGTTATGGAATGCTAAACAATAGAAGATATTAACTCTGGTTTAAATCATCTTTAAAGCAAGATGTAAAAATAAGTTCAACTGAAGCCACAGTGAGCAGACTAAACATCATTCAGTAGTGCACTAAAAGACTTAAGGGAGTTTATAGTTGCAATACCTTAATATATCTGTTATTGTTTTTCATGAAGCAAGTAATAATAATAATAATAATAATAATCCTTGCATTTGATATAGCGCTTTTCACGTCGGGAGGACGTCCCAAAACGCTTCACAGAACACACTGTAAAGTGAATTGACTGTATATTTGTGGGCGAACGCGGCAGCCAATTGCGCACAGCAATGTCCCACAAACAGTCTTAGATTGAAAATGACCAATTTATTATTGTTTTTGGTTTTTGGAGGGATTATTATTAGGCTCTGTGTGGAGTAAGGAAACTTGCCCAAGGTTTCGCCCTGACCTGCCTGGGATTGAACTCAGGTCTCTCGCTTGCAAAGCGAGTGCTCTAACCACTGAGCTACAGGACTCCACAAAGTATGTAGTTTCACATAATTTGCCAGATAGTGCTTTCAATGGCAAGGTGATTATACCTCTGGCTTTGATCAATGCTATGAAATAATCATTATGAAAGGATTAGAGTATAAGAGTAGGGAAGTCTTGCTGCAACTGTATAGGGCCCTGGTGAGACCACACCTGGAATACTGTTTCCAGTTTTGGTCTCCTCATTTAAGGAAGGATGTATTTGCCTTGGAGGGAGTGCAGCGTAGATTTACTAGGTTAGTACCAGGGATGAAGGGGATGAGTTATGAGGATAGGCTGACCAATTTGGGCATATATTCTCTAGAATATAGAAGAATTAGAGGGGATCTTATGGAAACCTATAAGATCATCAAAGGGCACGATAGAGTAGATAGTGGGAGATTGTTTCCCCTGGTTGGAGAAACTAAAACCAGGGGTCACAACCTTAAAATCAGAGGCCAGCCCTTTTGCACTGAGTTGAGGAAGAACTTCTTCACTCAAAGGGTAGTGAATGTATGGAACTCACTACTCCAAAGGGCTGTTGACGCTCAGTCCTTGAACGTATTTAAGACTGAGATAGATAGATTTCTTATTGCAAAAGGGATTAAGAGATATGGGGATAAGGCAGGGTCAGGTTATTAGCTGGAGTTAGATTAGAAGATCAGCCATGATTGAATGGCAGGGCAGGCTCGAAGGGCTGAATGGCCTACTCCTGCTCCTACATGTTATGTTAATCCAGGTATTCTACAAAAGCAGTTACCTTCCACCTACCTAGCGAGGGCTTAAACCTGTACTTGTAAAGTGTCTAATTAGCAATGAGTGACTATTATGTGGGAGGTAAATTGTGTCTTCTTCCTGCTTGACTAGATTATCTGCAAGCCAAATCCTGATGGGTAGTAAGGTGCTCCTACTTGGACAGGCAGTGGGAATCTTACTTATATTCTAAATGGTATCTGGCTTGGTTTTAGAAGGTTAAATTCCAGCATCACCCCACTGCGCAATCCAGTGTCCTAAAGCTTGGCTCTTGCCAACTTGCCCTTAGAATCTCTGTGTTAGGTAAGCAGGGTGCACTGTTTACAGTTGCATTGAGGGATCAATGGGCGAGTGCTCACTCCTTGACAGCCAAATAGAAACCATACATATGTGGAATTGTCCATGCTTGGATTTGGAAACTCAAGCAGTCTGATGGGTTTCCACGTGTATTGGACACTTGACTGACCAAAAAGACCAACAACATTAGAAAAGCTGTGCATCTCATTTCAACAGTTCAAACTGTTAAAGTTTCAGCAAATTACCTTATATTATTTATAATTGCAACAGAAACACAAATGATCATTGCTGGTTGCTACACACAGAAATAATCCATTAGTTTTGTAACATCTTAATATAAAATCTCATAGGAAGTTGCTTCTCCCTTGCATTGAAAGCGCATTTGATCAAACACATATGATAGCATGTTAATTCTGGTTTAAATCAGCTTTACAGCAAGATGTAAAAATAAGTTCAACTGAAGCCACAAAGAGGAGATTTTAAACTTCATTCAGTAATGCACTGAAAGACCCAAGGGAGTTTAGTTAACACACATAAACAATAAATACAATAATTATTTGCTTTAAAAATATTTTTATCTTGTCCTCATTTCCCCAGAATAACATGAAGATGTAAATAAGATAACGATTCAAGATCACAATCACCTTGAAAATGCATTTGCATGACAAAGTGCTAAGTAGTTCAGGAGGGGGGCAATTTTCACCCCTATCTGTAGCTTTTCTTTAATTATCTACTCAGGTAGAATGATGTTGAAGCACTTCTCTATATTGATTTGTTCTGGTAAATGAATTAGAATTACAGTTCATGTTTAAAAATTACCTTGACGTTTTTCACAATTTCCACTGATTTTTTAATCTCCCATTCTTTGGATAAGATGTTCCACCAAGGTTCTGTCTGTGCCCGTTCAGGTGGAAGTTAAAGATCCCTTGGCACTTTTCAAAAGCAAAGGGAGTTTCCTCCAGTCGTAAAAAACCCCAAATAAGATTTGTCATTCACTTCATAACCAGTTGTGGGATATTAATGTCTGGTGCAACTGCCTACACATCTAGAAAGTCCAAATACCTTCCTTTTTGAGTGTGCTTACAGTCATCTCCCACCTCCCTCTTCCCCTCATTGTCAGACTCCTCCATTGGACGCTCTAGGACACTACCCCGCGTGTAGGACACTATACAGGAGTCCTGTAGCTCAGTGGTTATAGCACTCGCCTTGCAAGCGAGACACCTGGGGTCAATTCCAGGCAGAGGGCGAAACCTTGGGCAAGTTTCCTTACTCCACACGCCTAATAATAATCCCTCCAAAACAAAACAATAATAAATTGGTCATTTTCAATCCACAACTGTTTGTGGGACACTGCTGTGCGCAATTGGCTGCTGCGTTTCGCCCACAAATATACGGTCAATTCACTTTACAGCATATTCTGTGAAGCACTTTGAGACATCTAGAAGATGTGAAAAGCGCTATATCAAATGCAAGGATTATTATTATTATTATTATTATATAAATGCAAGTTGTTGTTGTTGTTGAAAGTTACTATGTTTTACAATTAATCCTGTGAAAGGCTTTAAGATGTCTTCCTGATGTAAAAATACTTTTAAATGCAAGGAATATCATTTCATTTCTATACATACAGAAATAATGTGTATCTTCTTCACTTGAATTTTGAGATTCCCCACAAATGTCAATTTAGCTCCTCCTTCTTCTCCCCACCTACTAATTTATGATTGTTGGAACAGATGGAATGGTTTATGATGTTGACTAAAGGGTGGTGCATAGAAAGGAGAAACCAAATGGAGAATTATACAACTGGAGAGGATTTTAAACAAAAATTTGTGATCCTAAAAAGTCCATATAAAAGACGGATTCTACAATGTGCTCATATTCTCGCCCAGCAAATAGCTGCTCCATGTGTAGCTATTTCTGTTGAGCATGGATGAGAAAACAGCAATTAAATCACCTATTACACGTTAAATCTGGGATTAAATTTGATTCAGTTTCTTTTGTGTCTTGAGAGCTCAATCTGATTAAATTATTAAAGATTTGCAATGTACCTTCAGTTTGGATATTTTGGAGTTTTGCTAAACTCACTCAGATCCTAGGCTCATATTCCAAAGCACCTTGTGCCACAAAAACATTCAATTGTAAAATAATGATTTAATCTCTTACCTGTGAAAGACAACACTGTAGTAAGAGGGAGGACGCTCACTGGTAGCGAGATAGCAGTCTCCAGGGCATTCACTTGTGTTTTGTGTTGGTCGAAATATCATTACAGAATTACCTAAACAAAACAAAGCACAACCCGTTGAAAACTCAAGATACAAAATTGTGACTCCGCTCTTCTCTTGAATCATTGGCTCCTGGATCAAAATGTGGTGGTTGGTTTAAAAATCCTCACTGGACAGTGTACTGTGCAATAAAGATTTAATAAACCAGGATAAAAATTTCTATTTGTTACATGGTATCACCCGATTACTGGTAACTGAATCTCAAAGAACCAATGATAATTGGAGGACCGTTTGTATGATAAACTCAGTAATTGTATAAGTAATTGTATCCAGTGACTCAAAATGTTCAGGCACATTTATAACCAAAATGGCAGTTAAATCGATATCAAGATCCTCACAGTCACCAACAAATCAAAGCATGCCCTAGCACCTCCCTACCTCTCAAACCTGCTCACATCTCACTCCTCTACCCACCTGGTTCAGTCAGCCGGCTCTGGCCTTACGCATGCCTCTCGTTCCCCCCCACCACACCGCTCCACCATCGGTTGCTGTGCTTTCAGCCACTATGTCCTGAATCTCTGGAACTCTCCGCCTCAATCCCTCTACTTTGCCTCCCTTTTGCCAGTCTTCACATTGCACCTGAAGACTTTCCTCTTCGATCGTGCCTATGATCACCTCCCCTTTTTCTGCAGCTTAAGTTAAACTCCACCACTGTTAAGTTCTACATGACTCAGCCCGTGTGAAAGGCGCTATATACATTCAAGTTGTTGTCGTTAAATGAAAACCTGAGGCAGCAGTTAGCCCAATTAAGTGTAAATAAAAACAATTTAGTCTTTTCTGGTACATCACAAGTTTGTATAATAGGCTTCACTAAACTTCTTAAGCCAATCATCGAGATAGTATACATATTGTTTTCCATATCATATAGAGACCATGATGATAAATCTTAAACAGAAGCATTCCACAAATATGGGTTGGATCCTTCGATTTACAGTTCCAAGTTTATAGCAGTGTCAGATATAAATTACAAGAAAAGGTAAACCCAGAAAAATATTTTAGGATGCAACGTGACAGTGGCACAAGAAGACCTAGTTTACAGCTGCACAGGGCAATTTCAGGACCAGGAAGTTTTTCTTTACTCAGAGGGTGATCAACAACTGGATTGCCAGGAAGGTTGGTTAGAGGCCAGGACACTGGACTCATTTAAAAAGCAGTCCGAAGCTGTGTCGGGAGGTCAATAGGGTGGGTGTTCTGGAGGAATGAGATTAGATAGGCCAATTGGCTTTCTTCACCCAAACCACTCTTGCGATAGTGTGAGAGCAGAGTCCAGTAAATGTCTTTCCTTGTACACAAGCACTTGGTTAGAAAAGCCAAACTCAGGGGCACACCAAAAATATTTGTGTATCACTCATCCCATACAGGGTATTACATCATCACAGCCATTATAAAAGAGAAATGGAACAGTCAGAAAGGAAATTTTACAATGTTGTATATACTCGGTTTTAATTTGCTGCAAAAATTCTAATATATGGGATGACAGGTGCAGACACCGACCTTAAACGCTTTACCAAAACATCTACAAAAAGTTTTTTTTCCCACCCTCTCCCTGTTTAGGTCCCACTGCTTTACAGTTGGCTCCCCAGGTCTAATGGGTACAAAGCTTAACATACACCTGCCCTAAACTACTGCTTGAGCTGGTTTTGACAGTTAGCACAGCTCATTGCTTCTGCTGGCAGGGGATTTAAGCAAGAAAGGGCATGAATTCAAGAATGTGATGAGGGGAATAAAGGAGAGGTTTGGAAGAACTCCTTCTCCCAGAGGGTTATCAGAGAATGGAAAGATTTGCCAGAAGTGGCTGTTAGAGTAGAGTCGATTGAGGCATTTAAAAGAGAATTCGATAAACATAGACAGAGGAAGGCTATTAGAGGGTATGAGGAAATAGCAAGGAAATGAGATGAGAGAGGATGGTTTCTGGAACTAATACACAAAAAGGGTGAATGGTCTCGTATTAGATAGTGCATTTCTATGGTTCTGTAAATGATCCTAGTAATGGTGTACACACAAATTCCTATATACGCATTCCTACATATGTGCATATATTGAAAACACATTTATGCAGCTTGCACCTTTTGAAAATTGTCTCAAATCAAAACTACAAGAAGATATTAAATATCTATCAGTTAACACATTTTCCCATCATTTAACAGTGCAGGGAGTGGTCGCTTAAAGTAGATCATATTAGATTGCCCAATAATAACCAACTGTTAATTTTACACTTACCAATATGTTAGTCAGGTTTCAGGGTTTGAAATTGTTGGTGAAAGATAGACAATATTTTTGTGTAAAATTCACATAATGTGACATCTATTGTAACAATAGCGACCTCACATTAGAATGGTCAAGGCACTGCCCTCATTCATAACATAATAAATCCTTGCATTTAATAATAATGTTCCTTGCATTTGATATAGCGCCTTATCACATCTTCCAAGACGTCTCAAAGAGCTTCACAGAATATACTGTAAAGTGAACTGACTGTATATTTTGTGGGCAAAACGCGACAGCCAATTGTGCACAGCAGTGTCCCACAAACAGTCGTGGATTGAGTGACCAATTTATTATTATTATTTTTTGAAAGAATAATTACCCCTGGAAAAGTGATCCGCCAATTGACTAACAACAAATTACACTTGTATAGCGCCCTTCACGTCGGAAAGATGTCTCAGGGCAATGCACAGTCCGGGATTTTTGGACCCGAACTGGGAGTTGGGGTCAGGAGGGGTGGAGGGTAGGGAGTTGGGGTTGGGAGGGTGGCCGAAGGCACGGTCAAAGAGGAAGGTCTTTAGACGGAACTTGAAGGAGGCAAGAGAGGGGGTGAGGTGGAGGGATTGCGAGATATAGAGTTCCAGAGGGCAGAGGTGCTGAATGCCTGACCACCAATGGTGGGCTGGAAGTGCGGGGAACCTGAAGCAGGCCTGTTTCCGCCAAGCGGAGGGAGCGGTCAGGCTGATATGAGGTTAGGAGGTTGGAGGGGTAGGGACGCGCAAGACCGTGGAGGGCTTTGAAGGCGAGAACGAGGATTTTGTACTCGATTCTCTGAGGGATGGGGAGCCAGTGAAGCCAGGCAAGAATGGGGGTGATCGGTTCGCAGAGACTGATGCAGGAGAGGACACAAGCTGCAGAGTTTTAAATAATCTGCAGTTTGTGGGGGGATGAGTTAGGAAATCCAGCGAGCAGGCAGTGGTGTAGGGACATGATGAAAGCGTGGATCAGGGACTAACAATTGGATCCCTACTTACTGCTAAGTAAACAGAGGCGGGTGGGGTAAGGAAACTTGCCCAACATTTCGCCCTGCCGGCAATCAAACCCAGGTCTCTCGCTTGTCAGGTGAGTGCTCTAACCACTGAGCTACAGGATATAAGGAGAGGGAAAAATTCCACATAAAGTGATTACTCCCAGCCTCCCTTTAAGCAGCCAGATTGAAACTTTTAAACAGAGCAGTGAAGGGTGACAGGCAATAATAATAATAATCCTTCCATTTGACATAGCGCCTTATCACGTCATTGAGATGTCTCAAAGCGCTTCACAGAATATATTGTAAAGTGAATTGACTTTATATTTTGGGGGTGAAACACGGCAGCCAATAGTGCACAGCAGTGTCCCACAAATGGTAGTGGATTAAGTGACCAATTAATTATTATTATTAAAAGCTAATCTCTTTGGAAACTTCAAATACAAAATTGACAAACACCAATAAATTTATCTCTAAAATCATATTTCTAGGACTACACTCTAGTGTAGGATTGAGGAGCGCTACATTGGTGATGTTAAACCATGGTTTCATTTACCTGCTCAGATGAACCTTAAATACTGGAAAGGAGAACAGTCTTTCTTCCAGTGTCACTGGCCAACAATCTTACACTTTCTCCCAGTGTCACTGGCCAACAATTAATTAGCCACGAGGGATCTTGCTGCCATGTTTGCCTACAAATACAGTCACTACACTTGGCATTAATTGCATGTGCTGTTTGAAGTGAAGAGAAGAAAGAAGCATTGTAACAATGAAGGTTCTTTCTATATCTATAATTTTCTGAATACTCAGTGCAAAATAGTATTTAATATGGATATTGAAAGTCGTCTTTTTTTTAAAAAGTCTAAAGTTTTGCTGTAGTCTATTACAATATTAATAGAATATTGTTGGTGAATTTTAGCCTGAATGCAAAGATATAGTCCTGGACAATGAACACGTTCTCCTTTTATTACTGGGTCAGTAATAAAGCACTGCTCAGTCAGGCATTAGAAGAATTAAACTACTTTCTAACGGCATGTTTTAGCTTAATCTTAATCTGAGAGCACCCCCTACTGCACTCGTGACACTGATTCCTCACATGGGCCTTTTTCATCCTCTGCCTGGCTTACGTTCTGAACACATCTGCTGGGATCTTGGTCGAGAAAGCCTCAACTCGTTTCACTTTTGACAAGATGTTCATCCCCTCAGACTGAGCTGTATTTAAACCCAGGTCCCAGAGGAGAAAGATCAGTGTGTTTCATCTTAATTCACTGCATCTCCCAGTCCCCACGAAAAAGAATCAGGATTGGCACAATACTCTTGAAAAGAGATATTTCTACATTCAAATGTTATGTTGTCATTTGATTCCCCTGTGAAGCTGGGGTAGATTTTAAACATCTTGGTGAAGGAACCTTTAATGGTTTGGTGATTAAATGCATGAAAAGGGAAATAAAGTTCACAGCACAGGAGTGGGTCAGTACAGTATTATGCTCCCATGCACTATTTCAGGTTGCAGAATCCAGTTTGGGATCATTGTGTCCAGACTGACTGACGCTTGAAGGAATGGGAAGGAATATCCAAGTATATAACCACCCTCCCTTGCTTTTAGTACTGTAGCAATAGGAGGGATAGCTGAGGAGCCACGCCAATTCCTAATGGAGTTTCTAGACACATTTGCAAGATGCTACTATCTCTACTTTATCCTCTCACTCACCCATTGTGATCTGATAAGACGCCGGTCCCTGTGACTGCTGATGTTCATCTATGGGTGTATTTTCTTCCCGCTCAGCCAAATCCTCCCTTCTTCTGACATGGGAAATGAATAAGAGGCAAATGCCAACAAAAGTTAATATTGGTCCCATGATCTGCAGGAAGAGCAGCTTACAGTCCCCGGCTTCAGCAAAGGCACTGGTTGAATTCAACGCCTGGTTTTCCATGGCTCCAGGACAGCTGGTAACCCGGACTCCAACCAGAGTTAGCAACACTCCACTGGAGCAACAGATGCAGATGAGGAAACGGATTACAGGGGCCTTTGGCCCATAGTGGCTGCTCTCAGCTGCTCCCAGCTGTCTCTCACTCGCTTTAACCCGAATTTTGGATCTTGACAGCAGAATGAATCCTAACCCCAATGCACCCAGACTGAGTCCCGTTATCTTGAGGATTGCATTGCAGTCACGAGTATCTTCAAGATCACAAGGCTGGAACGCAAAGATAGCAATAAGGAGTCCAGAGGACAGGAACGAAAGGCCAAATATTAATAAGAGAAACCCCAGTGTGCTGCCTCCAACTCCCCCCGTCCTTGCCAGCACTGGAACATTCGCACGGAGCATCAGTTAAGAGGAGTGAGAAGCTCTGTTCCTCTGATGGTATGCAGTGCCTGTGGATACAGTATTGTAGCGAGTTTATTCTTTTGACAGTGACAGGAAACATACCATTTCCACTCTGGCTTCCTGAAGCACCTCACCAACCTGCTTTAACATGAACACTGCAAAAATTAATCATTACAAGGCACCTGTGTTGTAAAGCATTATGACAAGATGTTTGTACAATTTCATAGTTCTGGCCAAGATTGTCCTGCAAGTTAGGAATAAAAATGATATACAATTAGTCGATGTAACTGTAAGTAATATAACAATCGTCAACGAGAGGCTCACCCTTCAGTGTTGGAGGAGATAGGATTATGGTGAAAAGGTAAACTCAAACCAGAACAGTCTGGTCACTGAAATGACATGCATTCTCCATTAGGAGCACCCACACACCTCACAAGCACAAAACACCAGCATCCTCGCCATCAATAACTCGTCACAGTTTCTGTTCAAACATGGTTTATATTCCTGATGATAATGCCCCTTATAGTGCTCACATTCACACTCCTCCTCTGCTCCCAGGAGGTCAACTGAAGGCGACTTGACTTATGCCCATATATACCTTGTGGCAACTATTCCAGTTATACCTTGATCAGCGGAATATTTGCACATGCTAGTTTCTGAATTCTGTATTTGAGAAATATTTAGTTGCCTGAGGGAATTCCCTGTAAATCACAGCTGATTGTCGACCTCCCCCCTCCCCACACAATATCTCTGACAGGGAACATTAAATAGTACAAGAGTGAACCTTTTTTGGCTGATAGTTTGCCCAGTTATAACCTCTGGGAGTCTGCAGGCTAAGAGGAGCCCAGGTCCTGGACAAGCAACTCCCAAATCCCTATCAATTCCAGACAACTGGAGCCGGATCAGACTCTGGCTCGGTCAAATTTCTATTGGAAAGTTTTATTTGTTTTTTTTAAAAAAATTACAAACCAGGTCATCGCCAGAGAGAAATACCAAGAGGATGGATGTACTGTATTATCCCAAGCTGAGCCCCAAAATGGCAATGAGGATCTGCAATTAGTTGCATCAACATAGAAAACTTACCACTTTAGATGGAAATGGGATTATTTTATTCAATTACAAAAGCACAATCGTGTGACCTAAATACAAACTCCCCCCTCCCCACCCCACACACACCACCACACCCCACACATACAATGCATTCATTTTGCAGGTTAATAAGCAAACACTTTTACTAAAACATATCTTAGAGAACAGAACTTTGTGTTACCTGAGTTGCCCCAGAACTGTGAAACAGATGCAATTGCTGTGTGCGTGTAAAAAAAGTTCACTTCTTCATCCGTGTTACATTAAAAAAAAGGGCTAATGATGACTTTCTGGCAGCAGATCAACAGAGGCTTGCAGCACATCCACCACATGAGAGATTTTGTTGAATTGGTGTTCTTAAATGTGACAGGGTTTGAGCAATGTTCCCGCCCCTATTACCACAGAGCTGCCTCCTCTGCCCTATCTTGTGTAAACCGATTCTCAGTTTTTCCTGACGGATCCAGTCTGGATCAGGATCCTTGAGCATTTTTTTTTGTTGACCCTTGAAGTGTGTGTAAGGTAATAAAACCACTGTCATACTGCAGGTCAATCAGGATCAGCGCGTTGCCATTACACCCTGGTAATAATCAATCGAAACGCACCCAACAAAGTTCAATAAGGAGCAATCTGGCGAGTTTGAAAATTGATGATAACCTTGAGCAGATTACAAACCAAATTGTAACTGCTTCTCAAACGAGAGTCACTTCCGCCTTCCTTCACAGTAAAATGTTTTTTTTTGGAGGCTGCATTAACTCTATGGACAGTCATTTTAATTGATTTATAAGCAACTGGAGCATCACCTTTCTTTTGCAAGTCATTACTGATTACCACAGCATTGTACAGGGTGTACACAAAGTCATATTACCCCCTTGTGTTTTTTTCTTACAATGAAGTTTTATTTTCTGTTGCAGATGAGTCAAGTGTAACAAGGTCTGATACCAGCAACTTTGTCACTTACTCCATCCACAATACGGATTATGAACATGGCGACAAATCGTTATCTGCCATGAAAATGATGGCGCTCACACCAACCCTCTGGACGTCTGAATACACTTGTATTGAATATAATGAAGTACTTCTAAATACAATTATCATCATTCTTCCACGTCAATGGATTGTAGCTCCTACAGTGTAGGTCAGTGCACTGTAGGAAAGAAAAACATGGGGTTAACAGGACTTTGTGAACACCCTATAGATACATTGGCAGTGAATTATAAAATCCTGAAAGTTTAATTTCCTTGTGTTCCAATGCTTGCGTATAATCTTACTTTTTTCTTACCAGAGCGCTAAAGCAAATTGTAATATTCCCACTACTGCCATCTGAGATCACCTGAATCAACACAGATTGGTACCTGGATTGAATCTGGGATTTTCCTAAATCTTATAATTAATAATAATATTTGCATTTAATATAGCACCTTATCATGTTGTTGAGACATCTCAAAGCATTCACAGAATATACCATAAAAAGAGAATTGACTGTATTATGTGGGCAAAACGCAGCAGCCTATTGCCCACAGCAGCGACCCACAAACAGTCTTGGATTGAGTGACTAATTTTTTTTTGAGGATTACCCCCAGAAAGTGATCTGCCAATTGACTAACAACCAGGTTCCTACTTAATGCTAGGTGAACAGAGGCGTGTGGAGTGAGGAAACTTGCCTAAGGTTTCGCCCTGCCCGGGGCAAGTGTGCTAACTACTATGCTACACAACTTATTGTTGTTTAAATATGAGGCAGTAGCTTTGCCAATTGAGTGGTTGGTAGAAATGTTTTTAACCTTGACACATTCTTTATCATATTGTCAATGTCTACATGAACATCAGGTTTTGACCATTCAGAAGTAATCACAGAATTCCTTGTAGTGCGGTATTTAAAGTAGCAGTTTACTTTGTAACATTGAATTTTTAAGCACAGAATATTTGAGCAATCCATTCAGCCCATCATGGCAGTAAATCCTTTTGTTCAGTCTCCTGCTTTTTTCCAAAAGCCTTTTATACTTCCTATTCAGATGCAGTAATAATAATAATAATAATAATAATCCTTGCATTTGATATAGCGCTTTTCACGTCGGGAGGACGTCCCAAAGCGCTTCACAGAATACACTGTAAAGTGAATTGACTATATTTGTGGGCGAACGCGGGAGCCAATTGCGCACAGCAATGTCCCACAAACAGTCGTAGATTGAAAATGACCAATTTAATTATTGTTTTTTGTTTTTTGGAGGGATTATTATCAGGCGTGTGGAGTAAGGAAACTTGCCCAAGGTTTCGTCCTGCCTGGAATTGAACTCAGGTCCCTCACTTGCAAAGCGAGTGCTCTAACCACTGAGCTACAGGACTCCAGTATTCGTCTAATTTGATGTGAAAAGCTGGATAGTGCTTTGCTTATTTTTTTTTATTTGCTTATTTGCTTATTTTTCATTGTTCATTCATTTAGCTTAGCTTTGTCACTGACTTCCTTAAGATGTCTGTGTGAGCTATAAATTAATTTTTGATGCTGTATTTTGACTCCTGTGTTGCAACCCCTATTTAGGCAGTTGAATTAGGACTCTGGGATCACATGCTCAGGTATTGAGAGAATAATGCGGGTCAATGTGTTTGATGACTTTATCTGGAGATTGCCTTCAGTAGATATTGACAGAAGCCAGGGTTATGCTGCAGGGACATACATTATGGCAACCCCAGAAACGGTTGCAATTCAGGCTATTGGTAATTCGGTTTCACTCACCTGCTTGCCTTTCTTTTTCCAGGGCTCCCAAAAAGTTCATTTTTCGAATCAGCTGAATATTCTTTAAGCCTAGGTTGTGTTCAAAAACTTACTTAATAAAACCGGGGCATATATTCAATCATAAAAAGGAGATCAAAGTTTGTCTTAGAATTAACAGTGCTTCGGAAGGATCCATCTTAAATAATATAATAATCCTTGCATTTGATATAGCGCTTTTCACGTCTTCTAGATGTCTCAAAGCGCTTCACAGAATATACTGTAAAGTGAATTGACTGTATATTTGTGGACGAAAAGCGGCAGCCAATTGCGCACAGCAGTGTCCCACAAACAGTCATGGATTGAATTGACCAATTTATTATTTTTTTCTTGAGGGATTATTATCAGCCGTGTGGAGTAAGGAAACTTGCCCAAGATTTCATCCTGCCCTCTGTTTATAGTTTCAGAAGTGACTGCAAGCAGGCTGTTTTGCATGAAAGGAATTGTTGTACACTCAAATAATGTACCTGGACACAATTTAAATAATGTAAATCTTGATGCTGCTGATGTTTGGTCACTACAATTGGTTTTATTTTACTCCATAACATGGAAACATAGACATATATGTCACATGTCATACTGTGACCTGTGTGTTGGAGACCAGGCACACATCAGAGCAAGGCAGAATGAAGCCAAATGAGCTTTGAGGCAGATAATAGTCCTTGCATTTGATAAGAGAACTTTCTATGTCGTTGAGACGTCTCAAAGCACTTCTCAATACTGTAAAGTGCATTGATCATGCGTTTTGTGTGCGAAACACGGCAGCCAGTTTTCGCACAGTAATGTCCCACAGACAGCCGTGGAGTGAGGGTATTTATTGTTGGTCCGGACACCGGGAGAAACTCCCTTTTCTTTTTGAATAGTGCCATGGGAGTTTTTTTCCTTTCCCTCAATTTGTTTTTAAAATAGCATATCCCAGAAATGACACCGATCTTTCAAGAACCTTTGTAGTTTGTTTACAAAACCCATATTGCAACCTGAACCCTGTAACCTGCGAATACTAAGGAAGAGAAAAATACATCACTTTCTTCCACTCTCAGCACCAAGACAGACAAAATATACGATTAAAGTTATCAATGTGCAACTCATTGCAAATACCTTCCACTATCTGGGCAGACTGAAGAAGTTACCTTATCGTCCTTTAAACTAGCTAAAAATAGACACAATCAATAAAAATTTTGGAGTTCACAGTTTCATCTTTTCCCTATTGCAGTTTTCGAGTGAATTACTAAAGTTTGCACTAGAAAATCCTGGATCAATTATCTGATCCATTAGAATTTGGAAAATTGCCACGTCTCTCATCACACGAGGTTACATCCCAGCTCTGTCCTTGTCCTTCCCGGTGCAAACCATTTAACTTGTTTTAACTGACCCAGTCTGTATCTGGATTCTTCAGCAATTCTCCAACATACACCTTAAGTGTATGTAATGTGATTCCTCGGAATAATGAAATTTACAGGAAAGGATCATTTTGGGATTGGGTTAAAAAATATAACATTAAGGACTTAAAAAAAATCTAAAATTGTTGGGCTCACGCAAAACAAAAGTATACTGCACACTTTGATAATTCTTGCATTTGATAAGTGCCTTGTCACATGAAACACACCAGCCAATTGTCCTACAAACAACTGTGGATTGAAGTGACCAATTTATTATTTGAAGGAATTATTACCCCCGGAAAAACGATCCTCCAATCAACTAACAACTACTTACTGCTAGGTAAACAGAGGCGTGTGGAGTAAGGAAACTTGCCCAATGTTTCGCCTTGCCAGGAATTGAACCCAGGTCTCTTGCTTGTGAGGCAAGTGCTCTAAACAATGAGGTATAGGACTCAGAATACATGTGACCTCTGCAGAATTATGACAATAGTCCTTGCATTTGACATATAAACTTTTATTACATTCCTCCCCTATTTGGTAACTGCACCAAGTTTTCATATAGTTTTTTCCCCAGAGACAAATGTAAGTTTTTAAAATGTGAAATCATAGGATTAATACCATTGTAGCAACCGTCTTTTATTTGCATTGATAATGTGGATCAATGAAAACCACGGTTGTTATCTTGGAAGTGATACAGGATTAGCAGAGTGTACATAGAGCGTTGCAGGAATGCAAATTGAACTGTGTAACCGGAGCTATACCAGCATCTGTTTCAGATTTTGGCCTCTCTCACTTCTTCATCTTCACACAATTAGTTATACTGCAAAGGCATAAAACTAATTTAAACATTTACGTGTGAAAATAACCCAAGTATTAGATATCGGAATGTCTTCTCACAGGCTAGGGGGTGACTGTTTGTCATGACTGAGTGATAGTTGTGCATTGACTCACTACTGTTTGCTTGCACTCGGCGAGTTTTATTATTCTTGTCTATCTGATACTGTGTCTTGCAATTGACTTCTGGTTACAAGACTTATCTAATCATTGCATTGACACAATAATAGGATTTATTTTTGAGTGTATTATATCTAACTTTATTTCTACCTTTTCAAAGATCTTGCCTCATTATTCCAAACAGAACAAATTATGCTTGTATAGCGCCCTTCACGTTGGAAAGATGGCCCAGGGCGTTGGACAGTCAGGAATTTTTGGATCCGAACTGAGAGTTGGAGTCAGAAGGGGAGGAGGGTGGGGGCGGTAGTGTTGGGGTTGGGAGGGTGGCCGAAGGCACGAAGAGAGTGGTCTTCAGGGAGGGTCTTCAGATGGTACTTGAAACTTGAAGGAGGCAAGAGAGGGGATGAGGTGGAGGGTTTGTGGGACAGAGTTCCAGAGTGGGGGCAGAGATGCTGAATGCCTGACCACCAATGGTGGGCCGGGAAGTGTGGGGGGGCCGATTGGAGGGAATGGAAAAGTTGATATGGGGTTATGAGGTTGGAGAGGTAGGAGGGAGCAAGACCATGGAGGACCTTGAAGGTAAGAACGAGGGTTTTGTACTCGATTCTCCGAGGAATGGGGAGTCAGTGAAGCCAGGCAAGAACGGGAATGATGGGTTCCTGGAGCCTGATGCGGGAGAGGACACGAGCTGCAAAGTTCTGAATAATCTGTAGCTTGTGGAGGGAAGAGTGGGAAGTCCAGTCAGTGGGCAGTTGGCGTAGTCAAGCCAGGACATAATGAAAAGGACACCGAGGTTTCGGATTGGCTCGGTGAAGAGTGCAGCCATCAATGGTGATAACATCAGCAGCTGGGGTGAGGAGACGCTGCCGGGAGTCAAGAAGGAGGGCCTCTGTTTTGCCAACATTGAGCTGGAGGAAGTTGGCTTTCGTCCAAGACTTGATGTCAGGCAGACAATTAGCCAGGACATCAACAGTCCTGTAGTCGAGGATAGAGGCGGTGAGATAGAGTTGGGCGTCATCTGCATACATGTGGAAATTAACCCTGTGCTTGTGGATGATATCGCCGAGCAGGAGCATGTATACCCTGATGAGTAGGGGATCGAGGACACATCCCTGAGGGACTTCACACGTGACAGTGCGGTGGCTGGAGGAGAAGCTGTTGGTGGCCACAACGTGCAGACGGTGGGAAAGGTAGGATTAAAACCAGGCAAGGACAGAACCATTGAGGTGGAGGTGAGAGGAGAGGCTGTGGACAACAGAGTGGTGGTAAAAGTGACCAATATTCTCAGACTTCTCCAGTCCTGGTCTTGAGCTTGTCACCAGAAAATGTTTACTGCCATTGGAGAGTAATTACTGTAGTTTTTAGTTAACTGATTTGAGGAAATGTTTCAACCTCATCAGCCTATTTTCAACTAGTTACTTCTAACATTAGCAACCAAAATAACAGCAAAGATGTGCCACACACAGGTTCCTGTATAACAGGGGTGGGACAATCCAGTCACCAAAATAATAATAATCCTTGTAGTTCATATAATGTTTTATCATGTTGAAATGTGAAGGCACTTCAGCTTCTTGCAAAGTTAGGGCCCATGCACTTTTAGGCAAATGTGCCAGCTAACCTATGCACAACAATGTCCCCAAACAGCCATGAAGTGAATAACCAATTTGTTTATCTGGGGGATTGTTGGCCACAATAACAGAAGCTCCCTTCAGTTCTTCGAATATTGCCATGGGATCTTTAACATTCACCTGAACAGGCAAACCGGACCTTGGTTTAAAGTCTCACCTGAAGGATGGCACCTCTGACAATATACAATTTAGTTATGTACTTAAATGTACAACACTCAGACAGAATTTCTAATATGACATTTATTTACAAGGACAAAATTTAAAAGTAAAGACAAGTGACAAGATAGATTTGTAAAATTTACATTTTATGGAAAATTAAATGTATTTACAGATTAGAAGAATATAGGTCGATATGTTTTGACTTATCAGAAATCAATGGTTATTAAAAACTCAAATTCCTTATTTGAGATCACAAACTTATTTTGATGAGCATAAGGCAGAGACAAAAAGCCACTTCACTGTGTAAAGGAAAGCAAGAACCAGCTTGCTAAACATACATACCGCACGGGCTACAGATTCCAAAATATGTTTAATGTAGCTTTAACATTGAAAATAGATTTGAACAGGTATCTGAACTATATCAGAACACAGAGGCAATCCATTTATTAATGTAACTGATTAGTTAAGGCTAGTTTGTGTTTCACAGAGCTCACTTAATAAAATCCTGCAACTGTTTAATCGTAGAACAGACAAACTCAGAATTTGCAAAAGTGGATTACAAACTGTGCTGAGAAATGCAGATTATATTTTAATAGTGATGTTTTGCAATGCAATTCCAATTGGTTACATATTTTACCCTTACAAAAAGGTCAAATTAGAAAGGTCACATTATTGCTCTGTATTAATGGAAGTAAAGATTGCCATTTTTACTGTAACTTTTCTTAAATGGATAATGCAGATTTCATATACATTTTACATGTTTAACTAGATATCTCTGCATTATCAATTGGTAGTGATCTCATAATGATGGTAGAAACCAGTCATTTGTGTGCGAGCATTTAAAAAGTAAACACATCTACAATCTTCTAGTTGTGGAGTAGTTATTGAATAATGAGCTTCTGAAAACAATCCTGCAAATATTGTTTTGAATATCGGCCCGTACACAGTCATGGTCATCGATGGTTCAATTAACTTTATTTGTCCGGATTGAATATAAGAATCCCAATGTTTAGATTCAGTCAGACTATGTGTTGGGAGAAGAGATTTTTTTGAAGGGTCACCCTTCAACACAAACACTTCCTTTTCTCAAATCAATTCTTTCACGTTGAACCTTCTTTTTGGATTTAACCAGATCAGGCAACTTGTATCTCTCATAAATAAAACCTATTTTATTTCCTTGTTCTCCCTTCTTGCTGAAAGCAGGCTGTACTTTATGCGGCGGTGCATTTCCAGAGTTATTGGCAGTCTCCCAATACCATGCTCAAATAGGCAATCCTTTGATGTGATTGGCCTAGAAAGTCGTGTCTTTACGCTAACTGATTTAGGGGCTTGATGGTCACATCTGTTTTGAGCAGAGGGTCGCTGGTTAGTGAACTGAAGCATGATCCTTGTCTGTTCTCTTTTCCCATTCCTAGATTGTGGATATTATAGACAATTGTAGACTCTTTATTATACTTTAGCTGTGATCTTTTCGATCTTAAAGGTCAGTCCTACTGTACACCTTGTAATACACTTACCCTGAGCCATGGATGAATTAAAAATGTTTAAAAATTTGTCATAACTACACAAAATATTTTTTTCAGTAGCACTTAACAAAATACTCCTAAAATAAAATAAAAATAGTGATGAAACCTAGTTTTCAATTTAATTTAGCTCCAAATAGGTACAAATGTACATTCTACTGGTGTAATAATTTTAAAATATCTAAACATACAGGTTTCCTAAAACCTCTCTCCAAAATATGCCTGAATGAATTGAGATTTAACGGTAGAACATAATTAGTTTCAGAAATTCAAAATTGAAACAAACTCCTTTACTTATGCACTTGTAAGACTCTGTAGCCAACTGTAGTATTCCACTGTTGCTCTGAGTTCAAATAACTAAAGGATTGAGGATTGAATCTTGGCCCTTTCTGGTCAGTATGTCTGCGCCACCGACCACACTGTGCATTTATTGATTGAGCTATCAGAAGAGTTCTTTTGCCTTTAACTGAGAAGCACAAATGTTACAATGTCCCCGTCGTGACAGTCTGTTATACATAGCACTGGTAAAAAAAATACTGTCATGACTGTTCATGTGCACGACTCTCTCTGTTCCACCCATGCTCTATGCTGAAGTATAAGATCAGACAAAAAGGAATAGTTCAATTAACGTTAATGCATTACATTTATATACAAATACATTCATAGCAAATTTATCAGCTGTATGTGCTCTGGAATGCTACCCTGTGTGAGGGATGCTATATAAATCCAAGTTGTTATTTTATAAGTCTGTTAAACTCTTGCCTTTAAAATTTCATGGAGTTTGATACAAATGGCAAGAATACAAAACAGTTGCTGTTTAAAAGTTAGGCACAATTTTTCCATAGTAAGCTTTCAAAAGGAGGCATCACATTTACACAAATACATTCATAGCAAATTTATCAGCTGCATCTTTCCCACAGTTAAAAAGCTATAATAAAATGGAAAATGTTGTACTGGAAAACAAGGCATTTTATGGACTAAACACCAAGTAGCATCATGCAGTTTTATAAACAAAAATGCAAATGGAAATTTTTAACCTTTTAGGAGAAGACAGTTTTTCGTATAAAGTACAGGTAAAAATGCAATGTTTTTTAGGTACTGTAGTTTATTGAAGACAGTTCATATCAGAAACCAAATCAAGTTGATCAGATAATTAATCAAAATCTTACACAAAACCCTATACAAAATCGGGTCTTTTTTTCTACATTTCATTGTTCAGATTTTATTTTGAAGTTGACGGTGCTTACTGTGCCTGAAGAATCCTTTAAACAATGCACATTGCTTCAATGTGAGACAGTGAATCATGTCTCTTGTTCAACAGTGAGAAGCCTAAATACATGAGCATTTTATAAAAAAAAGCGGTGGCACAAGTTTCCCATTACATTGGCTGTAGATTATTGCAAATAACCCATTAAAAGAAATCAGAATATGCTTGAAACACCTTCTGCTATGAATGCCATATGCCACATCTAATTCCTCTTCTAAACCCATTACAAAAACTAAGGATTATTAATATATTTATGATACACATGTCCGCAATGTTCATACATGAAGAAATGTTTACCTTAGTTTTTTTTAAATAAGGAAAACAGAAGAGGCACAATAGTGAGGACACAGGCACAGATTTTTTTTAACAAGTTAACTTTGAGAAAACAGACTGACATGTGTGACTGACAAGAATCAATGCTGACATGTGTGTTTTTTTAAAATCTTTAGTACATCTTGGTGGGCTGGTTTGAAGATGTTAGCCAAACCATGAATCAAGAAAGCTAGGTTAAAATCCTGCAAGGTACAAAACAAACCGTTTTACTTTCCTCAATTACATATCCAGCTGAAACACATTACATTTATGCCGTTCCTGAAGTTACACTAGTACTTCTTTCTTAAAAAAAAGGTCATTTCTCAGTATTTCAGGTTTAAAATACTTGGACCTCAACGCTAAAATAAAAATAAATTGGCTGATACCATTTAGATAACAAATATATTTACTGTGTAAAACCGCAAGAGTATTGACAATCTCAGTCCTCACACATCAATGCATTCTCATACAGAACACTGTTTTGGTGCAATGATAATGTGAAGTCTACACTAAGATTGCATTGAATAAACTGAAGTGGATAGCACTGGTCCCATGAATGGTAGCCAATTATAATATTTATTCTATGGGGAAATATTGACAATTCTACTTGACATTAATTGCAGTGAAATTAAAATAAACTGCCGTTAATCAAATCACTTAGATCAGTGTGTGATGAGAACATAGAAGGCTTTACCGTATATCCTGCATCTAGTTTATAGATCTTTTCATATTTGCAAAATAATTTTTGTAACCGTCATTGACAGATTATCTTAGATTTAATTTTCACACGTGTAAATGCAATTTTACAGTGCTCAAGGTGCACATGTAAAAACAATGCAAGTTTGTCAAAAACGTAATCTCTGTAGCAATGCTCTAGTTTATTTAAGAGCTGAGTACCCCCAGAGAAGAGTTGCAGATATTCTTTCACTGGTGTAATCATCATCCCAACACTGTTCATGGGTTACTGTTATTCACCTTTGTCATTTATGAATTCTTCAGTTGAACAACTAAAATCTAAGATTGTTTTCCATTGTATTTTGATTTTAAGTTGGATACTTTACCTTGCTCTAATCACTGCTTCTATGGCACATGGAACAACATTGAATCAAAAGATTGTAAGCCAGTTTACAGTCACATATACAAAATTCTGAACCTCTATATTTATCATTGATTTTTAACAATAGAATTTTTTTGCAATGGCTAATCTTACAATCAGCAAAATGTTGTAGTCTGCAAAACTATATCTGATAACAGAGTAGTATAGTAGCACAGTGAAGGCAAATGGTTAATGCTGGCTCGTCTATCATATATATTTATAAGTGTTCGATATACATTATACATTTCATTTTTTTTACATTTCAGCATGTCTACTGATCACTGGTTTGACTTCATTAAAGTCTAAATAAATCATATTGTATTCAAAAACATTTACTTTATATTTCCTGAATATTGCAGGTTTTCAATTTTTTTAAACAGTGTTGAAAATCCCATCAGTGCTAATTTAATGTAATAAAAATACAACTTATTCCTCTCAAAAATGACTTTTAAAAAACAAAGTGCATGTTTATAGTTGTGTAGTATAGATTTTCCTCGAAACTTAGTTACCAAAAAAAGGCAAAGGCAAAATTCAGATTTTTAAAATTCTTGTATTCTTGAAAATATTGTCATTGTCTGTAGTTTTACTCCTGAATGCCTTGTGGTTGAAAATTGAAGGCAAGTTTAAATGCACCATCAAAATATCTTAGTGAATTTGTGCTTCACCGAACTAAAACTTACTACTGGAACCGTCAGCAGTCTGCCATATATCGGCCTGTGAAAGAAAGAAAAGGAAACAAGTTACTTTCTTCAACTGATCTCTAATTATTTTGCACATAACTGCAACATCAATTGAAAAGAAAACCTTATCTAAATTTTTACCCATGTGTTATTTAAGATATTAGGGCAATTTACTTCTTTGTAATCAGAAACAAGTAAATTATTTTTGTAACCTCCCGGAATTAAATGCCTGCCCTGTATCAAATGCAAAGATTATTTTAATTATGAATCAAGCAGCAACACAGAAAATGCAAAACCCTTAGCAAATAAGTTATTTAAACTGTTACAAGGAACTGAATATTCAATGATTTTGTTTGCTGTGGAGTTATCATTTTTAAAAATCCCTTTCATGTTAGAGGCCTCTATTGTAATATCCCTCACAAAACACAACCATAAAATGTAACATTCCACAAGCCATTCAACAGCAGTTTTTACCTGTAGCAAATCTTTTCTTTATTAAGGAAAGTCTATAACCGGTGCCTACAAGCTCCATGTCCACTCCAGACAGCGTGGATCCTTCACTAATAAATTGCACTGCAAGTGTTGATGGTTTGGAAGGACCTTCAGTTATGTCAAATTTTGCCCTGAGGGATCCAGTACCTAAAGAAAAAAATGTAGCAGTCTCCACTGATTATTAAAAATGATTGCAGAGGGGGATAATTTTTGCAGCTAATTTTAATTTTAAAGCTATGCTGTTCAGCAATGTAATACTGTACTTCCAGTTGCTCCTAATGTTCCACATCCTTAAAGAGTAGAACAATAATTTGTGCTTATATGGTACGTTTCATGATTTATTTTAAATGTTAAATGTAAGGATTAGCAGGTAGTCGGAAACTCAGGCTTGGAGGACCCCCGATTAGTCCGGTTATTCGGGGGTTAAGTGTATATGGACATTACTAATACAAGCTGCTTAAACCTATGTTATGGAGAGTTAAGAAATGACATGCTTCATTTACCTGCATCGTCGGATTTTTCTGAAATTTCAGATAGTTTCCATAAGGCTTTCTTCTGTTCTGCATTCCTGTATTGTCAGAGTCAGATAAAAAATATATAATGTACAACCTCCACACAGTCAGGCTTTACATTTAATGATTCTTTTAATTTTACATTTAATGAATTTTTCCTACACTCCCAAAGCCATTAAATTCCCTTCCACCTTCTTCTTCTGATGTGAGTTCCTCCCCACCGATATTGCCTTTATTCATGTATGCTTATTCCTTTGCATGTTCTGCCTTATTACTAGCCCACACTCCACTTCCACTTATGCTCTTTGTTTTCTTTACCTGAAATGCTGTACATTGTCCAGCGCCTTGGGACATCCTCCCGATATGAAAGGCGCTATACAAATATAATCTTGTTGTTGTTGTTTTCCCCTTAGTAATGCAGCATATATTACAGCCTATAAAAAGACCTTTAGCTATCTTGAAATTTTAGATCCTTCAATTTCTAGTCTAGGATTTGTATTCTGATACATACTTTTCTCTACAGTAGGAATACTATTATAATAGTGCTTCTTTCTGCGAAGGAGTACAGTACTTCTACAATGAATAACAATTTGTGGTTCCAAATTACCAAACAGCAGTTGGCAGTGACTGCATGCAGGTAACTCCACCATCGACTGGCATCAAAACTTGCACATTTGATAGCACAGAGGGGATAACCATAGCTTCTGGGTTGTATTTGTAGTCCACACGAACATCTGTAGTGGAAAGTGTGCACTTCCAGTAGGTAGCTAGATTTAGTGGTGTTGATAGAATGCCATTTGATGATACCTGAGAAAAAAAGGAGATATTAATGACAGAATGAATATATTTATATGGATTATTGTTTGAATAAACTACAAGGATAAAGTACTTGTTCATTTCCAGGAAAAGGAAAAAGCCACATCTTGGAAAACAGTTTTATTCCTATCAATCCTTGAGACCCTAGAACTAACACAAATTTCCAGCTCCAAAAAAAGTTAATGATGGTCAGCTATCGAATAGATCAGCTAGCTCTGCACACGCCAAAAAATAAGCCTGGGACCTTTGACTCAATTTCACAAGACAATAACTTTACCAACTGAGATTTAATTTTGGTTAGCCAGGTGTCTGACATATGCAGAAACCCATCACCATGCTTAACAGGATCCAAACCAAGCTGAGATTTCCACGCATCCCAACTCAACATGGAAATTCAAAAGATAGGTTTGTTGGAATAGAATGTGCACATTCTCCCTGGAGGGACACATTCTGCTTACCTAATTCCAGAAAGTATTAGGTGCAGGTTAGCAAGAGCCAAGGTTTGGAGACCCCAGAGTGTGTGTTGTATAATAATAATAATCCTTGCATTTGATATAGCGCTTTTTACGTCGGGAGGACGTCCCAAAGCGCTTCACAGAACACACTGTAAAGTGAATTGACTGTATATTTGTGGGCGAACGCGGGAGCCAATTGCGCACAGCAATGTCCCACAAACAGTCGTAGATTGAAAATGACCAATTTATTATTGTTTTTGGTTTTTTGGAGGGATTATTATTAGGCGTGTGGAGTAAGGAAACTTGCCCAAGGTTTCGCCCTGCCTGGAATTGAACTCAGGTCTCTCACTTGCAAAGCGAGTGCTCTAACCACTGAGCTACAGGACTCCGAAAAGCACTTTGGGACGTCCTCCTGACGTGAAAAGCACTATATCAAATGCAAGGATTATTATTATTATTATATAACACACACTCTGGGGTCCCCAAACCTAGGCTCTTGCTAACCTGCACCTAATACTTTCTGGAATTAGGTAAGCAGAATGTGTCCCTCCAGGGAGAGAGTGCACATTCTATTCCAACAAACCTATCTTTGAATTGTATACAGTTGGGGTACTGCTGGAATCTAACCAGCTAAAACCGCATAGCTTGCCATTGATATTGCTGTCTGGCAAGCTTTCCTGTTGTTGTCCAGCTAGGACCACCCTACCCCTTGGGGTTTTGGCTTGCATGATTGACAGGAGGTGGGCAGGATGACTTCCTGGCTCCGGTTACTGGTCTGCCCTTCCAGGTCGTGCTGATTGATGATCCAGGATGGCTGCACAGTCATCAGCAGGTATGCAGTAAACCTGGCTGGTTCAGGAGCTGGACTATTGAGAACAACACAGAGGGCTGGCTCGATTCCGACATTCCGTTGCCAAACATGCCACCTTGGAGCCAGTTCAACTCCAAGAAGACCCCGCTTACCTCCACCCCCAAGGAAGATATTTGGAATGTTCATGCATCTTCTACAGCAATATAGCTGGTGGTGCATTGGTGAGCTCCTGTCAAAACTGTACTTATGTTAGCTAGATAACCAGTTTTAAAGCATTTGTAACATTATATTCCATACATAATTGTTTGGTTTCTTAGTTGGCATACCTGATATTTTAGGATATCCACATTATAGTATGAGGCAGATGGATTCTGTTCAGCCAATTTCTTGAGGTAGGCAGTGAGAGTTTGCATGTTCATCCAGAAATCCTTTGTGTTGGAATCACTCTGTGATAGATCACTGAGTGACAGAAAAAAATGAAACAAAACAAAATGAAACAAAAGCATCTTAGATAAAGAGATGAGCTGTCATGATTTGCAAATCTTATTCACAATTAAATATAATAATCCTTGCATGTGATATAGTGCCTTATCACATCTTCGAGACATCTCAAAGTGCTTCACAGAATATACTGTAAAGTGAATTGACATTTTGTGGGCGAAAAACAGCAGCCAATTGTGCAGAGCAGTGTTCTTCAGACAGTCATGGATTGAAGTGACCAATTCATCATTATTATTTTATTGAAGGAATTACTACCTCCGTAAAAGCGATCTGCCAATTGACTAACAACCGGGTTCCTACTTACTGCTAGGTAAACAGAGGCGTGCGGAGTAAGGAAACTTGCCCAACATTTCGCCCTGCCGGGAATTGATAGGGAATTGATTGATTGATAAGTATAATAGGGAAGGTTTGAATAATTCGGAGAGCTTATGTCCTAAAGAGAAAAGATGAAGATATAAAGAGGAATATCATAAAAAGATATGAGGAAAGAAAAATAAGCAGAGTAGTGTGCTCCAGTGGAGAAGCAAGTACCAGCATAGGCTGGATGGGTGAAACAGCTTCCCTCAATGATTCTATGAACAAGGTTAATACAGTTTTATATTTCATCCTGCTGAACGTTTTACAATTATTAACTTTACAATACAATTAAACCAAATACTATAAATATAGATATGGACACCAAAATTCTGGAAGAAGAGTAGAAAAAATTACCTAAATACAAGCTGTGAATTTGGAAGAATTTGCTCAAGTTTGCTGGTATTCCGTATCCTAAAGGATAGCACTGCTGGCGATGGATTGCTGGTAAAGATTTTAATTATTCCACTTGGGAAAGACATGGTCATATCACCAGTAATTTTAACTATGCACCTGTAAAAAGAGCACAGAGTTAGACCTATAACAGATTTCTCTAGCTGCAGAATAGCAAGCCAAACAAACCAAAAGACAATTCATTTTTATTACTTCAGGTTCTCATAATGATTCCATCAAAGTACATTAAGTAGTAATGTAAATAACTTCCCTTTATAATAATTCAAATATTTTAAGCAAGTGTTTCAGAATTTCCTTTTAAATGTTAAATGCAACAGATTATGCCATAGCTACTTTAAAGGAGCAATTGAATTAAATCTGAGAAAGATGACGAAAAAGGTTGTTCAATCTTGATTTTTTTTTTAATGTGTTCAATTATTTTCTCTTCAATGGCAGTCTCTGCTCCTCGTCCCCAGCCTCCTCTTGCTGGGATGTGGTTCCACAGGCATTGGTTGCCTTCTGGTACCCCATCAATGTGCCCAGTGTTCATGTATGAGCTTTGACAGTGATTGCTGGCATGCCTCCTCTCACTTGGCAGACAGTTACACACAGCAACATATTACATTTGTGTAGCGCCTTTAACGTCTGGAGGACGTCCCAAGGACCTCATAGAGGGACCAGGATTAAGTACTTTAATTGGTTCTACCCTTCCTAACCTTGGGAAGGCTGGAGCCAATTTAGCCTTTCATGTAGCTATGGCTGAGACCAGCAAACCCAGCAAGCAAGGACCATGATTTGAACCAGCAAGTTGGCTTTGAACACAGGGAGAGAAGACATTGGGACATTGGCATCACGTTAAGTGTACATGTATTACAACCAATCATTTTACAGAATACACTAAAATCCCACCAGCCAGACCAATTGTGAGGGGTTGGGAAGGTGGGGGGGGGGAAGAAATTTGGCCTGTGAGATGGAATTCCCAGCTAAGTGTAATTACAATGCTGGTACTGGCATTTACCGGCTTTTTTCAGTGCCTAAAAATGCTTTACTGGCATTGTAATTGTTTGAATTCCATTAGCGGAAGATAATAAATAAGATTGAATCTGAGTGAAAGTTGATATCCCTGAAGGCCAGCAAGGATGGTGAGGCAGGGGTGCTTGCTAGGTGAGTGGGAATGTGGGAATCTACATTCATGTGGGTCTACGGAAAAATTTTTGGGCTCCATCCGGCTCAGTATGAATTCTGGATACCGGAGTCCAGTAAAACGGGGATTTACTTTATCCCTGTAATCTGAAACTGCAGACTTGATATTCTTATGCATTTCGTTTTTTTCCCTCCAAATTTAGAAATAATTTTAGCAATGAATTGTAACAATTACTTCTTTAACTCAATATATTTCAATAAAGATATACACCAAGAAAAAAAATCACATCAGAATCATACAGTTTAATATTCAATTGCAATAACATTTTAATTTTGTTACAGTAAAACACTTTAAAATAAACACTATAAAAACTTCTACCCAGAGCAAGTTAAAATGAACTAGGCATAAAAATGAAAAGAGAAAAGTTTAATTTTATTTTTGGTCACTTTTTCATCTTGTGAATGACAAATTTCTGCAAAGAAGGGTTTGGATTCAAGAACCCGAGGGGAGATGAGAATTTTATTTTTTTTTAACACAGAAAGTTGTTAAGAGTTTGGAATGCACTGCGTGAAAGCCTGTTGGAAACAGATTCCATAACAACTTTTAAAAGGGAATTGGCTCGGTACTTGAAAAGAAACAATTTGCAAAGATATGGGGAAAGAGCGGGGGAATGGGACTCATTGGGTAGCTCCATAGGCACGAATCGGCTGAATGCTGTAATATTTTATGATTCTTTGGCCAAAACAAATTCCTACACAAAATACATGTGAAATGGGACTTTATCTGCGTTGATATCAGCAAGCACTATTGATTACTACTTGTTTCAAAGACATACACCCAAGGCGTGTATGTTTCACTTAACAGTGAACATATGCATTAAAACGTCATGATGGCCCATATCCTGAAAAGCATGGTTCTTTTCTTGTCATCTTATCTTGGCGCTGGACGAATCAGAGCATGTTACAGCACAGCAACAAACCATTCAGTCCAACAAGCTGTGACAGTGTTTACACTACACACGAACCTCCACCCTTCCCAATTCCCTCTCGTATATCCCTATCCCATATCTCTTGTGTATGCAGTTAGGAGAGTTTTTTTAAAATAATAATTATCAATCCTTGTGTCAAGTCATTGGTACTCCAAATGGAAAACATTGAGAAGTGGAGAGCATGATTGATGTGGCAAATAATGATTAAAAGGACAAAATGATTTTGCTCCGCCACTTTATATGAAGTATAAAACGGAGGGAGGAAATCTTTTGTTTAATATTTTTATAAATGATCTGGAATTAGGAGTTATAATAATAATAATCCTTGCATTTGATATAGCGATTTTCACGTCTTCTAGACGTCTCAAAGCGCTACACAGAATAGAATGTAAAGTGAATTTGGCTGTATATTTGTGGGCGAAATGCAGCAGCCAATTGCGCACAGCAGTGTCCCACAAATAGTCGTGGTTTGAAGTGACCAATTTATTATTTTTTTATTTTCTTGAGTTGCAAGCGCAGTGGTTAAGTTTTCAGATGACACCAAGATAATGAAGGTGGTGGATTGCGAAGCTAAACAAGCTAGGTTATAGGAGGGTTTGAACATACTTTGGATTGGGCAGATTGGTGGCAGATGAAATTCAATATGGAGAAATTTAAAGTACTTCACACGGGGACAAAAAATTGTGGAAGAGACTATTATTTGAATGGAAGGAAAATAGTATGCATGGAAAATGAAAAGCATTGGGGGTCTTGATTGACAATAAATTGAAGCTCTCCCAACAATGCTCTGTGGCAGTGAATAAAGCAAACCAGATGTTGGGATGTATCAAAAGATCAATAGCAAGCCAAAATAGTGGGGTAATCCTGGCACTGTATAAATCATTGGTGAGACCGTACTTAAGAGTACTGTGTACAATTCTGCATTACAAAAGGATATTGGAGAAATCAAGAAGATACAGAGGAGGACAACCAAAACGATTGAGGGAATGGAGGGGCTGGACTATGAGGAGCAATTAAGTAAATTGGGCATGTTCACGCTGGAAAAGAGAAGATTGAGAGGCGACATGATCGCTGTCTTTATGATTCTAAAGGGGCTCGATAATATAGATCATGACAGGCTGTTTCAACTTGTCCAGAATACTAAAACCAGAAGACACGGCCTGCGATTGAAGGGGGGGTAAATTTAGAACAAATCTACACAAACACTATTTCAGTGAATAGTGAACCTATGGAGACGGTTGAAGCAGGAAGTGTTGATTCTTTCAAACAAATTAGATAGTTTTCTTTTAGGAAATAACATTATGGGATATAGTACATAGGTAGTTTGGGACAAATGTGCATGCGACCGCCAGGAAGATGGAAGGCGAACTACATGGACCTTAGNTTTTTTACACTGACCGTAGCTCAGGAGGGTTAAACTTTTTTTCAAGGTTTAATTTCCAAACTATGAAATCAAAATCTAATAGTTGAACTGATTCAATTAACTCATGTGTAATTTCAATAATTTTGGGTCAAATTTTCTGACATCCACAAGCAAGACAATTCTCAGCATTAGTGTTATTTTTACGTACTTAGTTGGGTCTGCCCCTTTGAAGTATGCATTAACTGATTCCGTAAAGGCAGTTGCAACTGGTAATGAATCCTGGCTCCCAAGGCTGATTGGGCTTGGTCCACGTGAAGTGCCTAAATCAATAAACAGATACAAGTATAAGCACACACTTCAATGTTCTTGTCATTTACAGTACTCTTTCTGTACCTTGAATCATTTTTAAGCTTTAAAATGTATGAAATCCCGCTTAGTAAAAGATTTCAAATTAACATCTTGGGAGNTTTTTTTACAGCAAACAGCTCACTTTTTAGTTAAATATTCTTAGCTGAATAATTATCAGCTATGGAAATCTGATAACCCAAACTAGTCGCTGTGAGATAAGGTCTTGGACCTTGGATAAATGCTGCAAAGAATTTAATTTTGTTTTAAACAATGTGAAGTATACCAGTTAAGCAAATGTCTGGCGATGCATATCTGCACTTTTGTAGATTGTGTAAACCCTTCTCCCATGTATGAATAGGGGTAAGAGCTTGGAAGTTTGTTAAATATCTGAATCAATATGCATAGTCCTAGCATTATGCAATGCAGTTCAAATTGTTGCTGTGCTTCTTTCTAGATACACATTGATGCACAATTCTAGGGTTATGTGGTGCAGTACAAATTACTGCTACTCTTTCATTATATATATCTGAATTGATATAGTCTTATTGATGTGTCCAGTATAAATTGCCATTAAGCTTCATTATACATACAGTTTGAGCATAAGGGCAATTCTTACTGCAACACATAATGCTAAAACCATTGAGTGCAGACAAAGAGTGCCGCACATAAAGCCAAACTGAGCACAAGTTTTTTGTAAACAGTAAGGTTAAAGTGACAGTTTTCACAACATTAGAAATACTGCATGATTTAATCTGGTGTAAATACACATTAAAAACTGCATCACAATCAGATAAGAACAATCTAAAAGTCAAATCAAATCCAGTTCATTTTGTCCCTTATTTCCAAGCTAGAATTGTAAACCATGTTTGAAAGTCTCAGTTTCAGTCTTAGCTATAGAAAGCTATGAAAATTCAAGAGCAAAAGCTGAATGTTTAAAATAAAATTTAAAAACCAATATCATTTGTGCAAAAGCTGCTGAAGAATCAGTATGTTGAAAGTCAGAAAAATATGTAAAATAAAAGCAAAAGGTTCTAAATCAAACTAGACCAGTTCTGGCCTTTATTCATTTGTAGCAAAAAACCCAATTTTAAGGGCTTTACATTTAATGTAACTACTCCACTTAGCTAAAAGGCTGCATGTACCTTATAAGCATCTAAATTAGCAACTACTCCTATGGAATACTAATGATTTTTTCACACATCCAATGACCACATTATTTATTTAATGCAATTATCAGGTTTTTGCATCTGTGGAAGCGAGACAAAAAAAACAGCAGGTTGCATCCAATCAGAATATAGTACACATCATCATATTGCTTTCTATTATAGTGCAATTACACTATTTCACACTGTAATTTTTGAAACATCCACAACTGTACTGAACGATGTTATCCACTGGTCTCCAAAGATCTTGGATCAATCCATGCTTCATTCACAACCTGTGTTAGATATGCGGGTGAAGGTTACTCCTTGAACCCTAAGAAAACGTTCTGATCTAGAGTCCATCCCAAATGTGCTGAACCTCTGTTTCACAATAATCAGTGCTGCTATTAGATCTAAACCTACAGATAATGCTTTGCAGAGATTTCTACTGATGGAATGCCACACTCTGAAGCAAAGAAAACATTAGCCAAAATAATCGCAATAGTGCAAATATATGAACAGAAGATCGTGTTTTTTCTCCAGCTCAGATTTCTCAAAGCTTACTGAAACACCGGGTCAGGAGAAAGCCACTTGCCCTTCGAGCCTGTTCTGCCAATTTATTTGATTATGGCAGATTTTTCAATTCAATTTGCCCATCACTTCTCCATATCCCTTAATAGTCTTCTTACTTCACAAGTATTTATCTCTCCCCCTTTCAAATATTCAAATAATTTCTGGATCCCAAAGCTTTCCAAAACAAAGAAAGAACTCAGTGCTTCGCAATATTTGAAGTTTTTCAACAAAGAACTGTGCCACAAAGAATCATACATGAACTAAGTCTTCTAAGTAGCAATAGGCACAGCTAATGTATTTATCCAAGGATATTTCAATACATTATTCCGTCTAATATAGAATCACTTAAAAATGTTAAACAGAACAGAATGCAAGTGCAAATTTACAGAACTTCCATTTAAATTCAAAACGAAATGTTCAGTGTTATCAGGGAGAAAAATAAATTGTTCTTTAGGGCTTGGATGTCTTTGAGCCCCAGCAATCTTCTTTAATATCTTATTTAAAATACACTAAATAAATTGTTAAATTTACATAGACTTTAAATCTGGGTTGTTGGGAAATTTGGTTGTTAAAATAAGTTCACAACTGCAAATGAGAGAAAATGTTACTTTGAAATAATAAGGTTAGGGTTATAAAGTGTCTGAAGATTAGATCAAGCTCTCATCAAGTACTGTACCTGCAGGTGTCTCACAGCGCTTCTCAAATGAAGGAAGTTTCCCAATGAACACATCATCATCTATTACAATTGAAACAAAAGCAGACACAAAGGGCGCACGACAGTGAGCGGATTTAAAAGCAAGGTCGTCAAGCAGTCAGAGGTTGCATTCAGTATGTTGGTGTGCAAATCCTTAATCCAATTAATTTCAGAGCAATAAAACTATACCACAACAAATTACATTTGTATAGCGCCTTTCACATCAGGAGGATGTCCAAATGGGCTTTTAAATTAAATTGTATTTAATTTACAATTAAATACACTCAAAGATTTGTTATGTTCATTTTTATATCACTGACATTTTGTCACAGCTTTTGCTTAGATAGAAAATAAACAATTTTGGTTAGATACAATTTTTATTCATGGGATTGATCAATGGTTAGTGACTATTTGGATGGAATGTACTAATGGAAATTGGGTTTGTTATTTATAACAATGTTACATATCAATAAGTTTCTAGTCATATTTTTCTCTGCATGCACTCTTTTGATAGGTATGTCTCCATGTAGATAATCATTCAGAAAAGGGAACCTTGGTGATTTCCCCCTCCCTACATCTGGAGACCTGAGAACAGTTGTAGAGCCTCAGTGCTATCCTGGATGAAATCTTTAATGTTCAATTTTGTATGGCTCAATGCTACTTACTAAGCATTTACCTATTAGATCATCAATGAAAGCATTTTTATTTTTATAATAATTATTTTGACTGAAATCCATCGGATCGAACCACTAAGAAATGGCACGAGTTGAAATTTTGCTGAATTACTAAACTCATTTTTAGCACAACAATGTTTGAAATGAACGTAACCTCTGCACTTTAGCACCAAAAAAAACATGTACAATGAATTTTGAAACACCACAATTTATACCCTGTGCATATGAAACATGGATTGGAATGATCTTGGAACATTCCTGCTTACTTGCACAAATGTTGAAACATGTTAATAGTTTTAAGAATTTGAAAATGCTTGTCAAATTTCTATTTTTTCCTGATTATTTAGAATGCGAATCACAACTACATTAGGCAGTAAACTCTGATTCCATATAGTATTTACCATAATATAATTGTTCTTTGTGCTAATTTACTCCTCTTATGCTGATAATGGTTACGCAATATTTTATTATACCAGTTCTCCAGATGAGCAGCCAATCATGCTACCAAATAGCTATATTCAGCAATGTTCTTAAAACCCCAATACTTCATCCATTAAAACAGGGTATTAAGATAAAAATCTTCACAACAAACCAAAGCCCAGTTCACCAAAGCCCTTCACTAATACTGCAGCAGAGGAAGACATGCAAGGCAAAGCACAACATCTTTATTGAAAATGTTACATTAAACCAGCAACTACTGACTGAAGAGAAAATATTGTTAATCCCTTCACCTATTATGGTCCAGAGCACAGCCTAGCCCATTGACATCTCCATAAATAATATCAATTAATTTATTGTTTGTTTGAAAAGAGATCCCTTCACGACTATTTTCTCATCATCCCCCACAACTGATGAAACCTGGTTTGACTATCAATGATGCTGTATTCTGGGTCTCAGTTTGGAGAATCACGTTCCGCAATCATATATGAAATTGTCTCCATTTTACAGTTGACATCAAATGCTGCTTACTTACACCAGAAAATTTTATTTTGTTGTATATTGAACAGTGGACAGCAGAAAGCAATTACAAAACATGATCATGAAGCATGATCATGTATTATGCCACCAGTATTAGTATAAAATGTTACAGATAAATATTTCACTAAAATTGGCATGAGCACATGCATCTTGGGTGTATTTTATAACAATTTGCGTATTTTGCATTTAAGAAAGGAAACGAGCACAAGGCAAATTAGGAGATTATTATTAATAAACATTGACTGTTTACTGAAATTAACCACTGACTGTTATGGAGAAACTAGTTTTCTATCAGATCACATTGTTCTGCTTATGGGTGAAGTGGCATACAAATAAGAGCTTTGCACTGTGCACACTTTTTTTCATCCCTGCCTGGAGTGCAGGATAGCCAATAATAACAGAAACATCTATTCTGTTTAAATACTAATAAGAACTTTACTTTTCCAAAGATACTTATTCTGAAAGTCCTCATATCGATACTTAGTGTTTTAATGTATTTTAGTCACTAGTGGAAAACCGTGTGATAAGTGGTTACAAAAGCTATTCATTTCACCAAGATTTGATAGTTCTAAATTTTCAGTTTACAGTGGGAAAGATAACCTTACAAAGTAGTTTTAAAATTGTGGTTTACTGCTAATGAGAAATCTTGGCTTTTGTACTTCATTTGAAAATTAGAACATATTGGAATGGAGAAGGCAGGATAAAGTAAGATTTACTCACTCATCCTTGTTTTCAACTCGCTTTTGGGTTTTAACTGTCTCCCTGACTGCTCTCTTGCTGTTCTAACATTGGATGTGACATGAAACGTTTCTTATCACAGCATTAAAATCAAGTTAAAGAACTTTCTGTCACAGTATTATAATCCTGATTCAACAAATTCTGGTTAAAAAAAAACTCCATTCTGGTCCTGGTCGCAAAGGTACACAGCAAACTCAGTGGGCATAACAATTAAGTGGAAAAATTACCAACAATAGCAGACATATGACCTCCAACAGCAAAGCTCATACGGAAAGGCTCACCAACTGAGGAAAAATAAACGCATAAAGACTATACAAAGAATTTTCAATTGAACTAAAGGGATTGTTTCAAACATTTTACATACCACCAGTTTGGACACAACAGATATAACTGAATCAGTAAGACATAACAGTATATCATATTACTTGTCTTTTTGAAAATTTCTAAATACAGTATCACATTGTAATACAATATCAACGTTTTAAGTCATTTGTTTTGGATGATCTATGATTACAACTATGTATGGAACACAAAAATATTATGTAATGATATTTTAAATTGAGAACACTTCTCAAAGTATTTGCAAACCTTTATACTTTGTTAAATCTTGTGAGGTGACAGTGCAAATCACATCTCTGAGTTCTGAAAGCAACACTGCATTGCTTACATGCAACATCATAACATTGTTCCACTGTTCACATTTCTCATTGATTAATATGCTATCTCAAGATAGTGAACAACAAAGTTAAGGGTAGCTGAACAGAATATCTCTGTTATGCTTCGGTTTCAAAACAAAAATAGATAAATGCACAAACGACTGCTATCCTTGCTTCATGTAATTTCTATGCAGCAGAAAAATGAAAGCTAATGCACAAATCAACAATGAAAATGTAATATTTTATTATACATAAAGAGCTTGAATAAATATGTGCCATGTGAAACACATTTGGCAACTTTTTTGTAACTCCTTGGAAAGGGAATTACAGGAGTGCTTAATTATGCAATTATCAACCACAGTTGGTTATTATTGACAACCAATATTGGTTGATTGGTTAATTAAATAAAAACTATGCTAACACATGGCCCATAATAGAACCCTGTGGACACTCATCCTTAAACAAATAGCAAAAAAAATCTTACATTTTAAATATTCCGTTAGTGCATTTTATTAGGAATCAATGCATGGCACAAAAAAGATATTAGCTATTTAAATAAGTTCTATAAATCTGTACTTATAGCTTTATTTAAACGTTACAGTGTCAGCAAGTTCTATTGCTTTTGCAAATACTAACTATGTTATCAAGTTCCCTTTCCTCCCTGACCATTTTTATGCTTCTTACTATCTAATGTCCAATAAGAAAACCAGGTGTCTTGTTCTAAATCATCCCTGGTCTGTTCCTGGTGATGCCACTTTTATATATATATATATACACACACACACACACACCAGAGTTCAGTCATTTGTGTTCTCTTCAGATGGAGAAATGTCTAGCCCACGTGCTGCCTATCCCTAATGATACAACAGAGGTTAAGACCTCATTATATTGGAAATAAGCAGTCTAACCAACTCTTGGCATTGCAATGTTGCTGGATCAATGCACCCATTACTCATGCTTTCCTACTATTCCATTACTAGATAATTAATTTTTCAGTCAGTTGATCCATAAATTGAGTTTAACAAATAATTGCTGCAAGCCTCTCAACTGCAACTAAGAACATACATTTGTGTTATTACAATACATAAATTCTATTATTATGAACAAAATTGTAATCTAAATTGCTCATGTTATTAATAGCAATCGAGATGTCAATTTGTGCAGTAGTTGGTGAGCTAATTTGCTGCATTACTTGGCATTTGTTGAAGTTGACAACTTAGGAATTTGAAGCTTTCAGCTGGAGACTTGTCTGCATTCCTTTAAAGGTTGGACAGCTAATGATGCTTTGTATGACAAAGACACATTATTGGGTTCACGTTTAAACAAAAACTAAGCCCCATCAACCTTTTAAATGTGTACTTACCAACTGTTGGCGTTGTTGCTGCACTTAAAGATGCAGAGGAGCCAATTGAGGACGTGCTTTCTGCACGGGCCAGTGGAGCGACAGGAGGTGGACTGGTCGATGTTACTGCTGGTGGACTGAATGATCTTGACTGTAAAATAAAATCGGGTGAAAAATCTAACTAAATGCAAATGCCTCTACAATATATTCAATGAGGATATCAAATAACAAAACTGTAACATAGTTGAAACCAACAGTAATTGGACAATTGTGTACAATAGAAAAGCAGTCCAATGAACACATTCTACTAACTTTTTTAAGCTTAGTGTAGTTTTAAAAATTTTAAAACCAAAATGCAATGCCAATTAATTAAAATGAAGGTTGTCAAAGTTATCTGCACATTTTAATGACAAATCAAGTGCCACAAGTATATAACAAATCTCTCTTGTATGCAAATGTAAATAATTGGCTGGCTCTGATGATTTGAACGGCCTTTGCTTATTCCTATTTTTACTATTCGGAATGATCTGATTGATTTGATCTGAGGCATTTTGAGGTACAATTGCCAGCTTGGCCCAGTTGATAGCATTCTTGCCTCAGAGTGAGAAGCCTGTGGGTTCAAGCCTCACACTGTGAACCGGTTCACAGGTTTATCCTCCCAATGCATTACTGGGGGAATGCTTCATTCTGAAAAGTACCATCTTTCAGATTAGACTCAAAACCAACTTCCCATTTGTCTGTTCAAGGGGACACTAAAGATCCCATGGCAATCTTTGACAAGAGAGGGCAGTTTCTCCTGGTGTCCCGGTCAACAATTCACCAGATAAAATATTGGTCATTCGTTTCATGTCTGCTTGTGGAACGTTTGCTGCGGGTGAGTTGGCTTTCTCATTTTTTTTCACAAATACACAGTCACTACACTTCACAGTAAATCATGTAACGCTCTTTGAGACATTTCAACTCCACAAGAGCAAGTATTATAATTTATTATTCTAAATAATAAAGGAAACTGGCAAGAAGATATAAACTCAAAATTAGAGCATGACAGTTAGAACTGGTTAGAAGTGACTTCAGAAAATATATGGAAGGTTGTAAAAAATGGAATGCACGCCCCAGAAAGTTGTAGAGGTAAAAATAATTGGAATGTTTAAAATGAAAGGTGAATTCTTTGGAAATAAGACAACTAATATGCTTGGTAAATAAACAGGGAAACTGGGTTTTAAAAAATTCTGCGATGATTTAAAAAATTGATAAGAATCAATGATCCGAATAATCTTGTTTCCATGTTCCAAATTACATTCAGTGCAAATAAAAAGAAACTAAAACTCATGCAACATTTTTCTACAAAAAAAAATGAATAAATTGTATCTGGCTTTGATCTCCACATTTACTCAGAAAAATAATGCAGCAAGATGCTTGAGGCTTGAAGATAACCACTCTCTTAAAGAAAAGAAAATCTTGGGAGAAAGGGAAAACATATTAAATTGTGATAGAAAAATAACATGTTTGAATTGGATATAGAGCAAGCACACACAAAATATTTTTGAAGAAAATATAAAAGAAGATGAAGCAAAATTTGCAGAGTAATAACACCAGACACAAAAAACAAACTTTTCTGGAAGGAATTAACTGAGAAAAATGGAATGGAGCTGGAAATTGAAAATAAAATTTATGCATTAGTTGCTCCAAAGTTCTGGGTTATAAAGGAAACATTGATCAGGTATGTCAGAGCATATTTCCGCTGAGCAAGATTTTTTTTAAAATTGGTGCATTACATGGACTCATAGATCATATCAAACTCAAGACATCAATTTAAAATGGCAGAAATTTCAGCTCTTAACTGGTCTCATCAGAAAAAGGTACTGGGACACTACTCCAGTACTGTACCCTGTTTACACAACTAATTTGGTTTGTTGAGACTGAGCAGCTGCCTGCAAATGCTTGTACACGTTACTCACTGCAAACTTTCACAGGAAAAACTCCGACCTTCTGGGTCATAAGATTAATTTTGCTTTACGGCTAAGTAATTCAAGGTTTGGTGGTTTAGACAGCCTGGTGCCACAGAACTCAACTGCTTTGTCCCCAAATGCGCATACATAGTTAGATTGTCAGCAGGTTTCGCATTTGGGGACAAAGCAGCTGAGTTCTGTGCCAAATGCGCATACATAGTTAGATTGTCAGCAGGTTTCGCATTTGGAGGTGTAATCAACATCAGTTTTGAGGTAAAGGAAATTAGACATGTATAAAAATAATTTGAAAATTTTTTTTAAACTAAAAACTTCCTTCCTTTCCCAGAATTGTGGTGGATTCGCAGGGAACAACAACTTACATTTATATAGCGCCCTTCATGCTGGGTAGCATCTTGGGAGTGCTTAACATTGGCAGAGCTTGACGCTGAGCTGGGGAAGAGGGAGGAGGCACGGTCGAAGAGGAAGGTCTTCAAGTATGATCTGAAGACAGGGAAGGAGGGTCAAGGCGGACGGATGGAGGGAGAGAGATCCATAGTTTTGGGACGTAATGGGTGAAAGCATAGCCTCGTTGGTGGAGTTGTAGTAGTGGGGACAATGTAGTAGGCCGGAGCCAGGGGATTGAAGGTGGCAGGTAGTGGAGTGGGGTATAAGCAGGAGAGTTAGGAAGGTGCCAGGGCATGAAGTAATTTGTATACGTGTGAGGATCTTGAAATCAATCTGTTCTGTAATACAGAGCCAGTGGAGCCTGGTAAGGATTGGGGTATTGGGGGTACGGAGTTTGGTGCGGGATAGGATATGGGCAGCAGAGTTTTGCAGTAGTCAGTGGCCACATTCCTGAGTGTATATGTATTTTAATTTACAGCAGGCTTTCCCTACTCGACTGACTATAAATTTGGACAAGGTCAGCAAGTTTATTCTGTTATTTAAAAAAACACCTTAATCTTCATTCTTTGAACAACTTTCAGATATGAAATAAACCATCCAAAAGATGGGAGTGACAACTGAATATGCTCTCTACATGGGTTTGGCACTACACACTACCCATCACGATTGGTAAATTTATCAATAGAGAATCACCTCCAACACTCATTAGTAGCTATAATGTGTTAAACCAAAAAAGGTCAAAAGTACTAACTTAGCAACATCAAATATTGTTATTACCAGTGCAAAGTAAGAATAATCATCAGATATCATCACAAAATTTTCTTCCAGATTTTTGTAGGATTAAAAAACTTAAATAGGACCTTACCATTTCATCAATTCCACCCAATTTTCCTGAAGAAAGCTTTGGTCGAGAAGCAGGCCGAGGTGGTGGCACAAGGCCACCTGCATTGTGAGGAGTGGTAGGCCTTGCAGGTGGTGATACTATTTGGGGGAGGCAGAAAAAGACAAGTAATGCACACACAAATACAAAATAAAAAGTACTCGAGATCTCTTTTCCAACATTTCAATTTGCGCCATTTATTACATGGAATGCACATTTCTATTTCATTATATATTGAAGCTTTGACCGAATGCCCCATCTTAATGTCTTGGAAGTGGATTCTGAATCAAGTCGATGTCAACATCTGTAGTATATTAGCTTTTATTTACATTCAAATGGAATGCTTAACCATTTTTTAAAAATCTCAATATTCAAAATTCCCATGTGGAACATTCACAAGTAAAGCAGTGGACACTGCTCTGCATACGAGCCATTCATGGAGTTACAGAAATCACCCACGTAACTCAGGTCTATTTTACCATATAATATTTTTAATCAATAACCCACAAATAATATTCAGAACCAGTTTGCTCATACCCACTATCAATTAGAAGGAAACTACACAAACTAAGATGGCATAGAATCCTTCCAGCTAAAAGACAAAAATGACTCATCTCATCAGCTGGGGTTCAAGAGCTGAAAGGCAAGTATCTGCTGCATTTCACTTTGCCACCTAGTTCCTTTGTTCTGTTTAAAGTTACTTATAATAATGTACTTTAGAAACGGCCATTTGTTTAATTTTATCTTGTGAAGTTCCTTCTTGCCCCTTTAGAAATGTTAGTTTTCATAATGGTAGAATTATTAAAAATGACCATTTTCATATTGTGAGAAACATTAACCTGTACTGTACTTTGCAATAAAACAAGACTCAAGATTTTGATAAGTTCTGAGTTTGAAACATAATTCAATAACTTCTTTTTCCCCTGAAGATATCAACTTCACAATTGTACATTTTGCTTACAAATGGTGCTGATATCTACTGTCCTCTGACAACTCCCACCAATCATGGAGACACAAACTATAGAAACTGACAGACCGAAGAGGTAAATGCCACTTTTATGGGTTCAAAATATTCCCACGCTAAAGCGGGAAAGCAGTTCTCAATTTGGAGTTTGAAATTCTACTTCCATACACTAATTGTAAATGTTAGTATTGGTTGGAGTAGCTTAGCTTGTTTGGTTGAGTTCTAATACACTCTGCTCCAAGTGTGTCAGAAGTAGATTTTTGTATCCATGATCCTCCACACACTGAGTTCTTGAACTTTGCCAAAAAGAGAAGAAATTACAGGAGATGATCTCTTCCACTTCCAAGCAGAGTGGTATTGTCAGCAAATGGGAGCCAATTATCTGACAATGGTATGGCATGTCTATGACAAGGATCAGAAAAAACTTGTCTTCAAAAAAAATCTAAATTTAAATTATACTGTATAGATAATACAACTTTGTTTTGTTCCACTTAAAACTAAATCGATTTGCTTACCTGTGCTGGCACTATTAAAAGGGAATACTGATGATCTGATCTTAGGTTTCTGCTAATTTTATTCTTGAACTATACAGTGGAAGATCTGCAAGAGCACCACAAAGGTTCCAGCCTCCCAGTGCTCCCTCCCTCCCTCCTTCATTCCTTCCCTCCCTACACTTGCCAGGTCAGACTCTGCACTTCCTGATTGATATTGCTAAGTTGACTGCTCTCCATATGGAGCAGCAAGGTGCAACATCATTTTTTTTTCTTACTCAGAATCAGCCAACAACACCAGGCCCTTTTAGGCTGGTATTTTATAGATTTGTTACAATCCAGACCTCCCTCCACTCATTGCAGCCTTATTATGAAAAAAAAGCATTTTTGCTGTAGAAATGTGCATTACCCCCGACAGACCTCATGGTCTGAGAAACATGGTTCAGTTAGTGCCAGATGCTAAAGCAGTAGCCAACCCGTGGCCCATGGGACTACCAAGAAGTGGCCCGCCGGACGTTCACACTAGTCTAAGCGAGTCAGTTCTAAATCAATGTTTTGTTTCCAGTTTTGTTTCTTGATTGATGGCACAAATCAAGAACAATTATTTTGTTGGCTGACCAAAAAAGTTTGCCACCATTATGCTAAAGTATAAACCATTTGAGGAAATAAATTGAAGCTACTCAAACTTATTTTGCTTAGGCCCTTAGAACGTGTCCAACCAAAAGGATTTTCAACTAACTTGACTGATTATACTAAAATTTTAATCACAGAAGTAAAACTGCAATAATTTATTACATTATTGAATATCATATTTATAACATTATTTGGAAGTCCTAATTAATGATACACAAGGTGAAAAAAATCAAATTTTTTCTAAATTAACGTAAAGTTTGTTAAAGGTTCAGAACATTTTCCACTCCTAGTTAAAAAAAATCCTTACAAGCTGAATTCACCTTTCCCACAAATGACAATATGACACCTGCATATCACCTGTTGCCCTACCTGATCCTGAACAACACTGGAGTACTAGGAGAGCAGCAGAAAAGGGAATTACTCTACTTACAAAACACACTACCTTTTCTGCCAATTAGAGGCTGAACTTTACATGCTTTTTTTCAGACACCCCTTAAACACCACCCCCCACCCCCGCCACACACACACAAGCAAACGTACGCAAAATTAGTTCGGAACATTCACTTGAATTGAGACTCAAAATGTGAGCGCTCAGATGCCTCAACTTTTGGTCACGTAATGCCAGTTTTGAATTCATCCAAACTATTTTTGTTTTAAACACTAGGAAACCATATTAAGGGAAGACAAGGGCACAGTCCAAAAATACTAAGCGTACAGTCGGGGTACAAATCATGCTTGCCATACCATTATTTAATCGAGCGACCATAGGTGTTAAACTAATGTCCACTGACTGAGGTGTAGAGATGGAAAAACTTTCTGATCCAGTGCCATTTTCTTCAATGGATAATCTCCTATGACCTGAAAAATCATCCTGAAGGTCACTTCGATCATCAGATGTGTCGCTGGAAGATAATTCAATAGAGGCCACTGGAGCATTGGAGCTGTTTGAAGTTTTAGAATGTATTTCTTCCTTCAACTGCAAGTTCAAAGGTTTGCTTGGAATTAGTTCATCATTAAATGAAATCCACTGATTCCGTGAAGTGGGAATGGGAGGAGGACCATTTAAGGTCTTTGAATTTGTCACTATACTAAAATCTGAGTCAGGCACAAGGTTGTCAGAGATGTCAGGACTACGACTCTTAGACTCGTAGCTTGGTTGATGTTTCACAGAGGACTCAATTTCTATACCCCAAGGTAAAACAGGATGACTCGACAATGTGGAGCTCCCTTCAGGCCATGTTAATTCAGCTGAAGGAAAAGGGAGAATTGAAAGCTTGGAGAAGGTGAAAGCTTAGAACACATATGCATTAGAAAGGAGTGTGATATTAATTTATAGAGACAAGTGTATTTTCACATTTCTCAGCAGGGCTAGTAGTGATGAAGTTTTTTTAAAAAATCATGCAAATATTAAAACATTTAGAACATTAATCGATTAATAAACTGAGCATATTAATTCAAGTTATCAATTTTAAACAAACTGCACCATGTTAAACTAATATCACACACCTTTGTCAGTTAGCAAGCAGAAGATTCCCACAGGAGGAAAACAGAACTCTAAATTCGTTTAAGAATAATTACCTTCAACTATAACTTAATAGATGGAATGGAATTTAATGGAACAACACTTCACTGGCTCAATTATATGACTATTTTGATACATTAAACTTTCTTAGACAATAGAACATGCCAGAATTAGTTAATGGAGTAGAATTTTTCTATAGTGAAATAAAATGATACTTTTTTGGTGTCCAATTATTCATTTAGTGTTCCAATGTCATTAGAAGAAACTGATCAACTCACTGCTGTAAATTACAAAAGTGCTGTAAAAGATCTAAGAATGTAAAAATGAGTAAAATCAAAATCAATTTTGGAATTAATTTTGAACCCATTAAGTATTTGATTACATTTCCAGGATAACTATTAGCATACAGTACCCAAGAGAGCATTTACCATGCAATCAACAAGTTGATATTTACTATACCCTTATTTTGCATCAACTTTCATAGGAGGCGAGCAAGTTTTTAAGAGTTTTCATTCCATTGGTAATTTTGAAAATTAAACTAAAATTAATCAAGATATTTCTCATTTAAGAAGATTCTACAGACAAACTCAAAAACTATCAACTCAGCGTAGTTCTATTTCCTCTGTGAAGCTCTTGTCAAAGAGTCCCAAATTTTCCTTCTTAAAACTACTCTGCTGGGTAATTACTGGGTAATCACTCATCAAAACACATTTCATTCCATGCCTTTCCAATGCACAATTAGTTAATTTACCTGAAGAAAGCACTGCATGTACCTCTGAAGCGCTAGAAAGATGCGGATTGATTGTTGTAAGGGAGTGAAGAGCTGAGAGAAAATGTTAAGAAAAACAAGAAAGAAGACAGAAGCAAAGCAATTAATGAAATATTGTCAACAAGTTGAATTTGAAAAATGCAAAGTTTGAATGTGCAACACATTGAATCATTTCCCATGAAGAACTCACTGTGTGAGCTGGATTTAATTGAGACTGTGAAGTTCAACAACACCATTTCCAAAGTACACGGTGAAATCTGAATGGTAAGTTTCTTCAAGGTTAACAGTCATAGCAGAATATCTCTTCAAAATGTGCAGGAGCCAATACAATACAACAATATGAATAATGCAGATCCTCAATTATTTATCTCTGAATTCATTTAATAATCATTACTAGAGCTGAAAATATGCTATGCTGTTTTGTACTGGACTAGGAAAACAATTCAGTTAATCAGCCATCCTTAAATAAAGTTCAGTCACAAGTCTCTTGCCTACACTATACTGCACTGTGTGTCAGCTTTGCTCAGTTGGTAGAGCTCTTGCCTCGAAGGTTGTTAGTTCAAGCCTAACATCAGAACTCGGAACTCATTTAGCCTAGGCTGACCCTCCAATGCAGTGTTGGAGGTGTGCTGCATTGTTTGAGGTACCATCCTTTGAAAGAGACATTATCGTCTGCAAATCAGCTTCTGCGATTGCCTAAAACTTTACACTTTACAGCATATCCTGTGACACGCTATGAGATATCCTCCAAACGTGAAAGGAGCATATCAAATGTAAGGATCACTATTTATTATTACATTGGCAGATAAATGATAGCAACATTTGAAATGGAGGCTGCTTATGACCAATTTACATTTCCAAGAAGAATACTTCATCGATGTGTTATAGGGCTCTTTACAGGTATGAGCTGTTATGAACAGAGGCACCATGTCCTGAAAGGCCTTCCTCTGTCATAAAATTTCTATTTGTATGATAGGCTTTCACCAGGAGAACAAATTTGGACAATACATAATCACCAATGATGAATTCCATTAATTCAAAGTCTTAATGCAATGCACAACAATAATTAGTGGGGATTTTGTATTATAACTGGAATCAAGTGTCACTTTTGAAGGGTCTGGCATATCATGAACTTTCACAATATTATTGCAACCAAATTACTTCAGTGTAATTTTTAAGTTGAGGAACAAACTTGAAACTTAGATCTTGTCGTGGCATAAATTGATTACCTACTATTGCTCTGGTCATCATTCTTTGAGAAAAGTTCAACCTCTAAAAATTAGAAATTCTATCAGCGGTCCACAGAGTAATACTGTACCTTCGATAAATTTATATCCTTGCACATATACTTCTGGTTGTATCCTCTTCCCCCATCCTCTTCATTATAAGGCATATTTTTAAACTGTACCCTTAATTCTATAACTGAAGGAAGTAGCAGAGACAGAAATACCCCCTACCCACACAAATATGAATACCTCCAAAAAGCACAAGCTTGCAACAAGAATCGAGACTGATTGCAAACTGCTTTCTATGCAGAAGTTATACTTCTTTCATGGAAGAAAGATACACATCTCAAACAATCCAGCATTCTTCCTCAGACATTTCAAAGAAATAGATAATAGTGGTTCTGACAATAATAAAATATTCTTTGGATTTGATAGTTCTGATATATTGATCACTGCAAAGCAACTATTATTGTCAATATAAACACGAAAGTTGGTGTCCTTTGTCCAAAGACAAGTAAACAGACTAATTTGCTCAAGACAGGACTTGGCAGCAAAATAGTCAAGTTGATGGTATCTGTGACATTTTAATTTCATGAAAACTATCCTTTTTTTAACATGTAAAGAAAATTGTTTACTGCGCCAATTACTGGGTAACAAACAGTAAGCAATGACCACCCACCCATCCACATATGCATAAACACTTAAAAGTGGCGATCAAGATAGGAGCAGGAAAAGAAAACTTGAGATGCAGATTAGACCAAGGTCTTTATATGGTATGTGATGGAGTAGAAAACTCTATGATGGAGTAGAAAACCTGATGAAAATAGCAAGTACTGACCAACACATGCATATTTAAAATAGGTTAATTGCATTTCTTACGTAAAGATTGAATGGGAAAATTTAAATCCTGCTTATATAGGCAAGCACATATATAGATAATGTAAATTACCCATTTAAAATTCTGATTTTTATAATACTTTGGTAGGTTAGGGATATTACAGTAATAGTTATCTGGGTGTTAGAGTAACTTTATTACTGCAATATATTTGAAGTGCTTTGAGACATCTCGAAGACGTGATAATGCGCTATATTATATTATGCATTTATTTCAGCATCATGGTATAGTGCGTGACCAGTCCAGAGAATGGAGTATCTTCAGTCTAAGTGTAAGGTCAGAAGTGACTTTTTAAAGACTTTTAAAGGGCAGGTCCACGAAGATTAAGTAAGGAGGAGAGGCAGTGTATGAGGATGGAGTGGTCGACAGTGTCGAAGGCGGCAGAGAGGTCGAGGAGGACAAGGAGGCAGAGGGAGTCCTGATCACAGATGTTCAGAATGTCATTAGTGACTGACCAGGGCTGTTTCTGTGCTGTGGGCAGAAAAGAGCGGAGCTGGGACGCGACGACTTGTTCCAGGACCTTGGAGAGGAATGGAAGTTTAGAGATGGGGCAATAGCTGGAGAGGAGGGATGGATAAATGTTTTTACATTTAAATGTAAATGTCCCTTAAATCTGCCTCTCATTCAGTAGCTTGTGCTAAGTTGCAATGTTAAGTTTCTAGTCTTTCGTTTCTTCCACAGTCCGTTTTAATATAGTTATTTTTCTTCTCCCTTTAGCCCTCTCTTCACTGCCATGGAGAGTAATTCTCTGACCAAGCTACTTATTCCAGCACCTCCTCAAACAGGTTGCTGAGGCACGCGGGATTGGCATGGATATCCCTCCAATTTTATAACTCTCTCAGAGGAACTCAATTCATCTAATCTCCCTGCCCAAGTGAAGGCAGGAGAGAGAAGACTGGAAAGAGAGGGGGGAGGGAAATGTATATGTGCATCCCCGGGTCATTCACCACACAAAGACCTGCAGAGAAAGACAAACCTGTGTCACCTTGAGGCCAACTCATCTTCAAGGAAACCCTGCTTACCTGTGTCAAAAACTTTTGTGTAGCAAAATTATAAGTCATACACTGGCATTTTAAAAATCAACAATTTACATAAATAATTACTCATTAATTCTCCAACATCTGCATCAAATGTTGCCACCAGGAACTCAAGGCCGAAGCAGTTCAACTGTGTTTTTAAGCTACTTCTACCTGACTCAGATAATGCATCTCAATCCTACCTCACAGAAAACACATATTTGTCCACCGTCTATCAAAGCAACATCTTACAAAAAAGGGTTGCTCAAATGAATCTGGGAAGTTTGGCTTATTGTGGAGTCCTGTAGTTCAGTGGTTAGAGCACTCACTTTGCAAGTGAGACACCTGGGTTCAATTCCAGGCAGGGTGAAACCTTGGGCAAGTTTCCTTACTCCACATGCCTAATAATAAATCCTCCAAAAAAACAAAAACAATAATAAATTGGTCATTTTCAATCTACGACTGTTTGTGGAATATTGCTGTGCGCAATTGGTTGCTGCGTTCGCCCACAAATATACAGTCAATTCACTTTACAGTGTGTTCTGTGAAGCGCTTTGGGACGTCCTCCCGACATGAAAAGCGCTATATCAAATGCAAGGATTATTATTATTTATTATTATATGGATGTGTTGGTCACTGTTTATGGCAACTGTATATTTTGTTTGGTCAGCTGGGTGTTTGCAACATAAGAGACCCTTCATTATGCTTAAGAATATTCAAATTGACTGTTCCACATATACATGCCACCTCTGAATGGAAATTTCTATGTGTCTGGAATGGAATGTGCACTCTCCCCTGAAGGGTCACACCCCACTTACCTAATTCCAGAGAGTATTAGGTGTAGGTTGGCAAGAGCCAACGCTCAAGGACTCCAGAATGCACACCAGGGTACTGCTGGAGTTTACCTAGTTAAAATTTCATAGCATGCCATCGAGAGCACTATCTGTCAAGCTTCCCATTGCTTGTTTAGCTGGGACAATCCTACCAGTCAGGGCTCTGAATTCCAAGGTTAACAGAAGCCAAGTGGGAAGAATCCCAGTCTCTAGTACTGACAAACCAGACCGGCTGGTGTACCATTAGCAGTGCTTTAGAGTACTGCAGACCCATTTTCATCAAGACCACCACAGAGGGCAATTTAATTCCGACATTCTGTTGTGAAGTAAGTCACCTTGAAGCCAACTCAGATTCAAGGAAACCCTGTTTACCTCAACTCCAACTCCCTACCAACCTACCCGCGCTCTCCACTCAACCAGCTTCGGCCTGCTTCACATCCCCCGCCTTGCTCGCCTTCTGCCACTCCGCCTTCACCCTCTGGAACTCCATCCTGCAGTCCCTCCTACCTCACCCCCTTCCGTGCCTCCTTCAAGACCCTCCGCTTCGGCCATGCCTTCGGTTACCCTCCTTCCCCCACTGCCTTTCACCCTCCTCGATCCTGACCCCCAGCTCGGGTCCGAAACACTGATTGTCCAGCGCCTTGGGACATCCTCCCGACGTGAAAGGCGCTAAGCAAATATAATTTTATTGTTATTGTTACCTACCCCACCAACATAGCAACCAGATAAATTCATTTAATTAACAATTGCTTCCAATTTGTCCAATAGGTTTGAATTACTGGCCTCAACAGAATCCACAAACTGCTTTATTATATGTTGTATTATGTCAGCCTTTTCTTTATTAAAAATATTAAATTATTGTCATCCTACGTGACAAATGAAAAGAGTCATTCATTAAATATATATTTCAATTCTGTGATTGTAAAATGTTTGGAATACCTACGATTCTAATAGAACTAACCGCAAAAAAAGTGAAGAAAAATAATTGTAGTCAAATCTATTGAATTAAATAGGTTTGTAAGCAAATTCCTATAACAATCTGCATTTTATTCCAATTGCTAACAACTAAAATATCTCTCCAACATTTAGAAAAATTGAACAATGTGATATCAATTCACTAGACCATTAAATTGACAACTCCGACATAGCAAATTTTAATCAGAAAATTCTTGACACTTTGTTCACAGGAAATATCAGTAGACCAGTACAAACCATCAGTATGGCTTAAGGAACCATACAGGTATTGCTCCACATCTGAACAATAATACTTTATTTAAAATCAGTTCAAAAAATTGTTTGATAATCGTTAATTAATTACACGTGATACAATTTGAAACAGTTATAATATTGAGCAGCAATAGAAACAGAATGATCACCTGATGAAGTAGTTGATGTGGATGAGGATGAAGAATCAAGTGGAGGGCCAAACAACGGATCCAATGAAAACAGATCACTGTTGACCTTTTTGGCACTGCATGAATTAAGCAAAAAGGCTTTTAAAACAATTAAACTTCTTTACTACAGTATATACGTACTCATCTATTCAGTTCTGTAGTTAGTTCATCCCGATATTATTTTTTTAACCCACATGAATTTCACTAGCAATCTGTTCAGCGAATTTAGGAACCATGCTCAAATTCTTAACTGTTCTAAAACACGCTTTCAAAGGTTTATGTCGAAGTTTTGGACTGCTACAATGATAGCCCATCCCTTGCTGATGTACTATTACTAAGCACAGGATTAAATAAAGGAAAAATATTTTAACATTCATTCATACATTATAAATATACTGACAACAGTTTAATATTAAGCTATATTCCTTGGATTATAAAATTGACAATAATCAGAAAGCTGGAAACCTGAAGGCTGAGTGTGTTATGGCATGTTCAAGGTCACATCTGCAACCCATGAAGCAATAGTTTACCAATTTTAGTCAGAAAAAATTGTAATCACCAGATTTTATTACAGTCCTACCCGTTTGTGGGGACATTGTGGGGACCGAGCAGATTTTCACACGCAGGTTTCGACATAAAGCAACGAACCAAGAGCCGGGAATGGCAGCCAAGGTGCACATTAGAAGTCGTAGTCCATGCGCACACTGAGCACCGTGCTCTGTGACTCCAGGGGGACGTATGTGCTGCTTGCCCCAAAGCTCAAGTGGAGATTTCAGCACTTTGTTTTGATCAATAATGTACAGCAGAGACCCAGGTGCAGAGTGGGAAGGCAAAGGTTAAAATAACCTGCCTATCGACTTAAGCAGTAAGAACACAATGTATTTAATGCTGTTGAAAAATTTGTCAATACAACCATTTCAAAATTTAAGTTGACATTGACATACACATTAAACATACGTAAGTTTAAATTGTTCCTATACTGGAAAGCACCCAGGGCTTCAAAGTTTTGACTACGTACACGGGATATTGATATAAACGTGTTTGAGATAAGCGGATTGCATTATACCCTTTATGCAAATACAAAATATTGGAAAAAGCTTTTCATATATATTGGAAATCCCTGAAGCAGCCGGTGGTATTTTTTCTTGACAATGAAATTAAGGAAGCAGTCATTAAAAGCTTCCTAAATATGTGAATGCTTTCATCCAATCCTGAACCTAACTTAGTACTTCTCCTAGGGAATAACAAGTTACCATACAATTACATTTCTGGCATTGGCTCCTTTCACTGAACTTACTCAGATGATGGCATACAGAGTCTTGACCTAACCAATTCTTCGCCTTATGGAATGGAGGCAAGCCGGAGGGAGGGAAGAAAGGGTTGAGAGTTATTCAGTATATTTAAATAAACAAAATATTTTTATATTCTAAAGTGTCCAACTCTTTAAAGCCACTTCATAAAGGATATACATCTCAAAAGATAATCCTTATAAATGCTACTCCAATATTCTGAGTTAAATTTAATAATCTTTTGTAAAACTCATTACTATTTTTGACTCTCTTTGACCGTGCCTTCAGCTCCCCTCTCGACTCTCTACCCCCTCCTCGCTCCCTCCCTTCCCTCCCCTCACCCTGACCATTTCCCCCCTGCTCGGGTCCTGACCCAACTGTACAGCGCCTTGGGACGTCCTCCCGACGTGAAAGGCGCTCTATAAATGGAATCTTGTTGTTGTTGTATTTCCGAGGTTATATGCCAAGTACTTCTACATTGTACCCCTTGGACTAGATACAACACAGTCACTGAAATTGGGTAAGCATGACATATATACTGAAAAGTATGGCATCGGTACCATTAAAAAGTTTCTACATTAGGAAATGGAACATCCAATCATGGATAGATTTGTATAGTGGCCAGATACAGAAAGTATAGTTATGTGGTTTAAACACAAAACTAGTAAAATACAGGCTCAACAGAAAAATATATAGCCAATTTTTTTTAAAAAATCTAAATTCCTGTAAGCAATGTTACCAATAGCAAATTTTCTTTTCTGCAAGATTTTGAAATAAAGGCTAGTTCTTGCCACTTTTAGATAAGATCTAAGTTTCACAAAGTAAACATATTAGTCCAAGTTTAAAATTCATAAATCAGTTTGACTTGTCCGATCCACTTCAATTTATCAGCAACTATACATTTTTGATAGTTTAGAGAATTTTCAATTTATTGGGAAAACTGCATTTTAAGTTCATTTTAACTGCAGATTAAGTTCACGCTCCAGTTTACACAACTTTTTTTTTAAAAAAAGCTCTATACTGTGATTTCCAATTCAATCTATTTACTCATCAAACTATAGCTAATTTGTGGGAAAAAACACTCAGTGTGTAATAAATGAGTCTATACCCAGAATCAATTATATTTATGCCCTGAATCTGAATCAAAACTTGGAAAGACTAGTTTGCTGTGGAAACTTAAAATAATGTAAATCACCTGTGCAGAGGCTGCTTTCAGTTGAGACCAGATTTTAAGAAACAGGGAATCCAAGGAGTAAAACTATTTTAGTGATTCTATCACTTTTTGCTGGCTATTTATTAAGTAATTATGCTATTGATTGACTATTGCACAATATGTTATAGATCCTTACAACCCACATTCAGTTAATAAATCTAAAAAATGTGTATGTAAGAAGTTTGTTGGCAGCTATCCATCACCATCCATCAGAAAAGCCTCCCTGTGAAGTATAGCATGTATCTACATCACTTACCAGATGATGCCTGATTGACCAATTGTGAATTTGAGTCTACTGGATTCAGCACAAGCATTAACAGCCCTATACCATGTAAAAACAGTCAAACTACAATATAAGTATTTTCTTTCTGAAGGGTAAAGCCTGAAATGTTATGTCTGGCCTGATTGATTAACTGATATTGCTTAATTTGAAGCAATATTGACCTTGGTTAATATCAACAGTTTAACTTTATTTAGTTAGTGTGATTAATACAATATGAGTGATAACAGTATAAATAACTGTAGATAATTGTGAAAGGCTATAATATTTGCTCAAGCTTCAATAGTATGAAACACCTTAAAAGCAATGTTTTGTAGTCCAGTGAAACACTACTATCTTCAATTTGTATTCCTATCAAGAACCAAATACTAAAAAAATGGGTATACTCATAAATTATTAATATCTTTAATATAAAAAGTATTGTAACGAACGCTAGACAGCTATGTAAATGTAGTCTTTATATTTTTACACAGTAGGTATCCCTGTATCAACTAGTCCATACAGAGAGAAGACTAACACCAGGTATCCATCACCATCCAGCAGTATAATTTCATCTTATTCCTACCAAGAAATCAGACAGCATCTGACTAATGGATTCTGAAGCCTCTGTAGCTTCAACTAAAGAAACCTTAACAAGCACAGTCTGCAAACTGAAACTGCAAGGCCTTGGTATAACTTTAGCTTATTACACAAAACAAGACCAAAATCAATTTGTATTAACTGCAGCTCTACATAATTTATGGTCACAATCAATAAAATTAGTTTCTTTAGGTTTCTGAAGCTAGATAAATGGATCAAAATATAAGATGTACTAGCATGACTCAATATTCAATGGGCAAAACTAGGGCAAATTGATTACTTACTTGATGAATTTTGTTTCATTGTATTCTGGAACATCAAAACAGAAAAAGAACTTAGGAAGGTATTAACACTAGATTTTGAATTATACTGTATTTATGCTAAACGCGTTTTAGCAAAGTATTGCAAAGTAATATAATACAAACTAAACTTGAGGAACAGGCCACAGTAAGCACAGTTTTATTTTAAACATGAACACACAGTTGCACACAAATTTGAACATACATCCATGTAATTTATTCAGTTTAAACAGTTACTTACTGGACTGTGCCTCTGAAATGAGCATGTAAAAAAGAAGAAACAATTGCAAGTTAAATGCTATGTATACTTATTTAAGAAACATATCTATTTATTGAATCTCTTTGAAGCTCTGGGCCGCTACCTCGCGTGAAAGGCATATGTAAATGAAAGTTATTGTTGTTGTTTGAAGCTATATTTGAGGTACTCAGAACAATTTCAATCCTAGCTCCAATATACACTAATTAAAGTAAAACCAGAAAATGTTGAAAATACACCTGTTTGGCTGGACTGATTAATCTCTCTTGGTTTCACACGCTGATCCAGTCATTTCAGACTTCTGGTGTTCTATTTCTATTAGTCTTGAATGCTTATCTTATATGATTACATAATGTTAATTCTCAGCTGAATTTTTTTAATGTCAAATGCCAACAAAATGTATTATTATTGATTGGTGAAAGGGGGGCTGAATAGATCAAGACTGCCTATCATCCAACTTTAAAAAGGATCACTGTCAGCTGCATTACATGTAACTTTTGTTTCAGTGTATTCTGCGAAGCGCTTTGAGACATCTCAAAGACATAAGGCACTATATCAAATGCAAGGATTATTATCTCCCTCTTTCCCTTCCTCATTCAGAAATCTCAAATCAAGAGAACAGATAGATGATGACCTGTACCGAGGACAGGGTAATTCTCTTGCTAAAGCTAGATTACTACCTTTTGATCTGTTCTTTCTTACTGCTTGAACAAAGCTGATTCTCCACATGTAAATTGACAAATATTCTGAAATGCTGTACACTGTCCAGCGCCTTGGGACATCCTCCCGACGTGAAAGGCGCTATACAAATGTAATCATGTTGTTGTTGTAGTCATCCAAACAGGAAAAATCCAAGGCATTGTGTTGAAGGTTTCAGTATCACAGTAGCTGTGCAATCTTCTTGCACTGGCCCTGATCCATGCTTTACACAAAGGTCTTTTGTAAATTTACAAACTTATTCTATGCAGAGACATGAGCAGAAAGGAAAACACTGAAACAAATTATATATAATGCACACCACATGGAGAAGTGGACAGGACAGTGGACAAGCTGAATTTAGATGATGTTTTACTTTCAAGGAATGTCAAATGCCATATTAACAAAAGTAGGACAATTGAATTGCACAGAATTTGTATGGCTGCAAAGCATTGCGTTGTGCCCAAACCAGCACCTTACACTGAGATATTATCATCTTTACAGGAGAAACAAGGATGTAGAATCATGCTGCTTTAGGAGAATTGCAACTGGGCAAAGCCAAATTTTATAAAATGAATATTAAAGTTTCCGGAATGTCCTTTAATTTTCCATCAAGCCAGTGAGCAGAGGTTTAAACATACATTTAGGAAGGATTGTGGGAGAAAAGGAGAAATAAGAGAGATTGTTCTTGATTGCTTTCAAGTGAATCCTGCTGGGAAGTACACATGTGTTGATGACTGATGAGACTGTGTTAATTTTTGATGCCTGTCATGATCAGATATCCTGCCTGGAATGACATATCAACAAAACTTTTTGTGATGAAGGATGACTTCCCAATAAGTCATCGCCTTCAGGAGAGGAGAACATTTGCAATCTAAGTGTTAGAAACAGGCCTGAATTCTCTATTTCATATTTACTTAATTGCAAAGTATATGGACAGGACCAATAACGATTTACTTACAGATTGGGAGGGAGAGAGTGTGAGATTCCCAATGGATGCTTTCAGTTCTTCCAATGTATGATTGGTGCCATTATTTGGTTGCATTGGCTTGATTTCCACATGAAATTTTCGAGGTTCCTCATCATCAGAACCCGAATCGCTTGATGAGTAAAAATTGTTCTCTTTGGCATGTATACATTGGTCAAGGAAAACAAACATGTACATTGCTATCGTTCAAGTGAATAACAAGTATTTATTTCAAATTATAGGTGAAATATTTTGTGACAGCTATTCTACAGAACCAAAGATGAATATTAAGCATAGATATACACTTTACAACATTAATCTCTACAAGGTAACTATATGGGAGCAATTGTGAATGGATAAGTCTTGTCAAGTTTGTTCAATCCAATGGATTCATTCACAATCAACTTTCTACCCTTGGGTTTTAGCTTTCATCCTACAGCACATTTTTCTTTGTGAAATAATGTATAACTAAGTTTTTATTAAACAGTATACCTTGTTTTTTTAAAAAAATGCATATCAGCAGTAAAAGTGAGAAAATAAACATACATAAAGTGTACACTTTTCCTAAAATGAGGAATTCCTACTTTTCTACCTAAGCACATGCCATCCCATGTCCACGCTTGAGAGTTTCGGAGAGAAACATTGTGTCTTGAAGCAGCATCAATTAATTTTAACAAGCAACTATTTATGAAAACTCCAACAACAATAGGCTTTCCTGGGGTCATGAGGCAACGCATCAGTTCCCAGCCAATCCAAAGCTCCCAGTTCCACTAATCTCAAAGGATCATCTGACCATTTTGACCAAAGAATATTTTGACTATATTAAAGTGAACTTTTACCTGTATTATATTAAGAAGTCAGTATGAAAGTTAATCTTAAAATTAGACATTCTAGACAAGTTAAATATTGTATAATATATTAATTTGACTTCTAAAAGTACAGTTTAGGGAGTTCAAGAGCAAGGAATGATCCCTTTCTGCCAGTTTGCACATAAAATTTAGGTAACTTAAACATCTGAGAGTTAAAGTTAAGGATATCATTTTGATTCACTTCTGGTTTGATGCAGAAACCTTCCTCATCCACCTCTGGAATATTCTGTAACAAAAAGATGTTAAATACTAATGAAGAAACAATTTTTCTTAGATACAACTCTGCAAGTTGCCATTACAGAAACGTCTCTAATTGCGACAATTTTTAAAATTAAGTACATTTTACAATCAAGTTCAAATGTCTCAGTTAATAACAGAGTAAGAGTGGGGCATCAGTGGAAACTGAAAATACATAACTTTGCTCAGGAAATTACAACAAATTTAATGTTGCAGTTTCTGGCATGGGAGCAACAATAATAATGTGCATTTAATACATATGCATATCTATTGCAGAATACAGCATACATCTTAGAAAAAAAATGAATATAAAATGTTCTCAATTCAAAAATAAATTATAATCCTTGCATTTGATAAAAATAAAGGCCCAAATTAGTTCAAAATTTGAGGACAATAAACTGTATGTGTCCATCACTATGCTGAATTAATTGAGTGAATATTTACAGCAACATTACTGTTCAAATGTCACTGAATACAAGTATCTCTGCCCAATAACTATTTGATGAATTCAGCAAATAGGAATACCAAACAGTGCAAGAGAAACATATACCCAGGTTTCCTTAATAAATTAATCCAAAGTTTTTTTTAATATATACTAAAACATGAAGAGCCAATAATTTAGTAAGATTACCAAGGCGAAAGCTAGATTATTTTTCTCAAAATGAAATGAAAATAAACATTAATTAGTTGCGTATCCACAATGGCAATGTAATATTTAAAAATTGGTAAATATGTGATACTGCATGTTTGATTACTATTCTGGATAATCCAAATGTCAAAACAATATGCATTATGACAGTGGTTGTTTAGACTTGAGGACTTTGTTTGCCATTGTACAAAACATTTTGCAACCCTACTGTGTCAATGCCTTCACATTCATCTTCCCCTTTGATAGTTATTCATTTTCTGCCTGGAATGGGTGTCTCATGGATTCTGTGCTGGTATGTGCAGAATCAAAGATTCAGGCAAGATAAGACAAAGAGAGCTCAACATCAGTGCACTTGAACTAAATAAAGATAAGCAACAACAACATTACACTTGTATTGCGCCTTTCACGTCAGGAGGACGTCCCAAGACGCTGGACAGTGTACAGCATTTCAGACCCGAGCTGGGGTTGGGGGTGGGGAGAGAAGGGAGGGGAGTGGCCGATGACATGGACGAAGAGGAGGATCTTGAAGCGGGACTTGAAGGAGGCTAAGGAGGGGGCGAGGCGGAGTGATTGTGGAATGGAATTCCAGAGGTTGGAGGCAGAGTGGTTTAAGGCTCTCCCGCCAATGGTGGGACGGGTGGGTTGAGGGACATGGAGAGGCCGGAGCCGGCTGAGCGGAGGGAGCGGGCGGGTTGGTAGGGGGTTGCAGAGGTAGGGTGGGGTGAGGCCATAGAGGGTTTTGTAGGTGAGGACCAGGATCTTGAACTGGATCCTCTGAAGGATAGGGAGCCAATGGAATCGGAGGCTGGAGGTGATGAAGGAATGAACAAGAGTTTCAGCAGCCTGAGGGGTGAGGTAATGGCGGAGTCGGGTGATGTTACGGAGGTGAGGGAAGGCAGAGCGGGTCATGGCTTGGATGTGGGGAAGAAAAGACAGTTGAGGGTCGAACAAGACACCTGGGTTCCTGACTGGCTTTGTGAGTTGTAGTATGCAACCATGGAGGTTGATATTGCCAGAGCGGAGGTGCTGAGGCACTGGCGCGAGTCAATCAAGAAGGCCTCAGTTTTATTCACATTCAACTGTAGGAAGTTTGCCCTCATCCAGGACTTGATGTCCGACAGGCAGTCTCTCAGGATAGCAGTGGTCCTGGAGTTGAGGGTGGGGCAGAAAGATAGAGTTGGGTGTCATCCGCATACATGTGGAAGTTGACCCCATGTATGCGGATGATGACACCAAGGGGGAGCATGTAGATATTAAAGAGGAGAGGGCCAAGGACAGAGGCCTGGGTAAGTTACATTATCAAATCAATTGAAATAAAATTTACCAGTTATTACTCTGAAGCTCTGTTCAAGCTGTAACTAAAATGCTTGTACAGTATCAATAACTGCGAAATAAGGCCCGAGGTCTAAAAAGCAGTGCCAAGGAGAGAACAAGGTTGATCCACGGTGTTAGAGGGACCAGTTATGTGTAACAGTCTCCAAGGAGATTTGTTAAGTTGCAAAATAGAATAGAGAAAGGCAAGAGGGCCAGTGGGCAAATGTTCAGGGCCGTGGAGTGAAAGTTAAAGGTTGATACTAAGATATTTTGTTAGTTAGAGGTTAGTCCACAGCTGGAATGGATTACCAGTAAACTGAAGGTTGAAGCAGCTTGATACTGTCTGTAATGGAAATACATCAAAAGATCAAAGGGTGGTCTGAAAGCCCTTTTCTGACCTTGTGAATTTATTCCCATAACAGGTGGCGCAAATAGAAATTGTGATGCTCAATTTTATTCATGGAACTTGTCGAGGTGAAAGCACTTAAAAGCTCTTCTTCACAAAGCTCGAGTTCCTGTTTTCAGGACACTTGCATTTAATTGCAAGCACATATTAGATTAGAATGAGAGGAGAAAGGTAAGATAAAGAGGACAGCTTTCTCCTTAGGAGTCAGCAAGTAAGCCATCATGATGAGGAGTGATTCAAAAAAGAATTGCATAAGGAGCAAGCACTAGAGAGACAAGCTTCTTTTCAATAAAATTACATTTAGCAGCTCTACCCGCGAGGTGAATACAAATTATGCTTCAGACTGTTTAGGACGTCAATAGGCAGAATTTGTACATCAAAACAGCAGGTAGGATTCAACCATGACGCAGGGCCTAATCTGACAGTCAGGGAAGATTGAGGCAAGCAACCATCCTAGCAAGTTAAAATAACTGATCACTTCACTTGCAGGGACAGAAGATCAAAAGAATCCAAGTAGCATTTGGACAAGGGGAAAATCAGCAAAGAACTCTGTAAAAAGAATCCTAGTCAACAAATGCACTGCAAAGCTGTCATGATTGAGTTTGTTTAGTTGGAGGGTAGTCCACAAAATGGAGGTATGAGTCAACCCAGGGGCAAGGAAAATTACACGATATGGGAGATATGATTCGAGACAAGGAAAAATCTAAGAGGTTAGGTTGACCAGAGATATAGGGAGGCTTAAATGCCAACTGGTTCAAAGGAATTTAAATTGGCTTAAAGTTCAGCATTAATATGTGCCTTATCAGCAGAAGAGAATGACTGCTTGATAGTGAGCATCAAAGTCGACAAGAACATGAATTCAGCAATAGGAGACAGTAAATTGGTGTATTTGATTTTACACAAAAACACTTCCATCAAGTTCTCTCTTAATCATCTCCTTTAAGAGTAAAGTCCCTAAACCAGAGAAGTCATTTTTTCCTCATAGCTCTGTCCCCTAAACTCCAGCATTAATCCTGCAGTTTCCAACAACAACTTGGATTTATATAGCACCCTCCATGCCGGACGGAGTCTCAAGAGCGCTTCACAGTAATGGATCCCGGGGCCGAGCCAGGGGGAGGGGGGAGGAAGGTGAACAAAGACGGGGTTGAAAAGAAAGGTCTTCAGCAGAGACCTGAAAATAGGAAGCGAGGGAGCGAGGTGAAGGGAGTGAGGAAGGGAGTTCCAGAGCTTCGGGGCGTAGTGGCTGAAGGCACGGCCGCTGAGGATGGAGCGGAGGACTCTGGGGACAAGAAGGAGGCCTGTCCCGGTGGAACGAAGGCAGTTTGTGAGGTAGGACTCGAACCAGGCGAGTGCGGTCCCACTGAGGTGGATGATGGAGGAAAGGCAGTGGAGGAGGATGGCGTGATCAACTGTGTCGAACGCGGCAGAGAGGTCCAGGAGGACAAGGAGGCAGAGGGAGCCCTGGTCACAGATAGAGAGGATGTCATTTGTGACTTTCACAAGTGCAGTCTCTGTGCTCTGGGCAGAGCGGAAACTGGACTGGAGGGGTTCGAGGAGGGAGTGGGAGAGGTGTGCACGAAGCTGATTGGCAACAATGCGTTCTAGGACTTTTGCGAGGAAAGGCAGGTTAGAAATAGTGGCTGGGGTTTGAGGGATCCAGGGAAGGTTTTTTGAGGAGGGGTTTGTTGACAGCAGTTTTGAGGGGGGGAGAGGGACTGATCTGGAAGAGAGTGACTGGTTGATGACGTCAGCCAGTAGTGGGAGTTGGGTGACCAGTAAGTTGGTGGGGAGGGGGTCGAGGCATCAGGTGGTGGGTTTCTTGGAGGTGATGGTGGGTGAGAGGGAGGAGGGAGAGAGGGGAGGCAGGAATGTAGCATGGGGGTGGTGGTAGGAGCAGATGATGGGAAGGGTGAGGGGGACAGAGAGGGCGTGATGGTGGATGACAAGAGGCAGGTGGATGAGGCTGCCTGGCGGATGTTATGTATTTTAGATGAAAAGAAGTCCATGACATCCTCGCATTTGGCATTTGATATGAAGATTGAGGAGGCCTGAGGGGGGGCACAGAGGAGGTAGTGGGTGGTGGAAAAAAGGATTTTAGGGTTGTGTTGGAGTAGAAGGCCGTTTTTGCGAGTGTCAAAGAACAACGGTAGCTGTGGAGATGCTCGAGCCACAGTTGGCAGTGAACTGTCAGGCCAGTTTTCCACCATCTGCGCTCGAGCAGCCGGGTTTGGGTTTTTTGGCGGCGGAGATGGTTGTTGTTCTCTCATACAACTGAACAGGGAAATAAATTACACATAGTTCTCTAGATGGTCTGTCATCAAGCTCAGATACACTGGCTCCCCATCCCTCAGAGGATCCTACCTCTCTAACCTACTGACTCCCTACCAACCTACCCGCTCCCTCCGTTCAGCGGGCTCCGGTCTGCTCCATGTCTCCCGCCCGACCCGCCCTACCATCGGTGGCCAGGCTTTCACTCAGGAACTCCAGCATACAGTCCCTTCGCCTCACTTCCTCCCTTGCCTCCTTCAAAGCTGGTCTCAAGACCCTTCTCTTCGATCGTGCCTTCGGTCGCCCTCCCACCTCTCTGCCTTCCCTCACTCCTACCCCACCCCTTCCCTATTCTCGGTTCGCGACCCCTGATTTTCCAGCGCTTTAGGACGTCCTCCCGACGTGAAGGTGCTCGATAAATGTAATTTTGTCGTTGCTGTTAAAATCATCTTTTTCGACCTTTACGTTCCTCTCTTAGTTATCTTGGGTTAGTTATGTATTAAAAAGCCAATGGTGAAGAAGGGAGATGAAATAAGATTCTAACCACCTTGTTGAAGTACGTGGGCAGATGAGGGAAAGGGAGCATTTGAGAAAGGTCTGGCAACCACCTCAGACACTTGTAGAATTTAACCAAATCTGAAAAGTGCCAATGGTATATTATTGTACAGGCAAACAAATACTTACCATCAGTTATATAACCTTTCACTAGTTAAAAGGTTTCCTTCTTCTACATCCATTATATAAAAATAAATCCCAAACTGTACACGCTAGTTATAAGGATCATCTACTATTGTACAAATGCTTCATAATCAAGTTAATAATCATTTACCAGATAGTATACTAACAAGGAGTATAAACAATGCAAACGTATAACGCATGGGATAATTTAGCAGAGAACTGTATCCAAAATGTAGAATTGTGTCCAAAAATACGAACTAATCCTGCAATTGTAATTCAATTCAGTTCTGTCTTTGCTAGATCTACTTACTACTGAATCCGCATCTGGAGATTCCCTGTAGAAAAAAATATATAAAAATTAACTATAATATATAATATCCACACATACATTTATACACAAAGAAATAAAAAAAATTACGTTATTTTCACACAAACGTTTTAATAAACAATATAGTGGTGTTTAAGATTACAAAAGGATTCGATAAGGGTGGATAGACGTTCAAAATGTTTCATTTGAGTCCAAAATGAGGCAGCATGAATATGATAATAATAATTCTTGCATTTGATAAGCGCCCTATCACATCTTCAAGATGTCTTAAAGCGCTTCACAGAATATACTGTAAAGTGAATTGACTGTATACTTTGTGGGTGAAAAGCGGCAGCCAATTGCGTACAGCAGAGTCCTACACAGCCGTAGATTGAGTGACTAAATTTTTTTTAAAAAAAAGGTATTATTACCCCTGGAAAAGTGATCCACCAATCGACTAACAACCAGGTTCCTACTTACTGCTAGGTAAACAGAGGCTTGTGGACTAAGGAAACTTGCCTATCATTTTGCCCTGCCGGGAATCAAACCCAGGTCCTTTCGCTTGTGAGGCGAGTGCTCTAACCACTAAGCTACAGGACTCCACAGATCTAAACAGGAGAAGGGGGAGAATGAGGAATTCATTGCTGGAAGCTGTGCTACCAACTGAGTCAGGCAGACGTATACAGGAAGAAAGTTGTAACAGCTACAGATAGTTGGAAGTCATTTACTTAAAACAGCTGTTCTAGCACAAGCTACAAGAGAATCAAGTAGCTTCTGAAAGTCAACAAAACCATGACGGAATTTGCTGCTTTCAACTCACTTCCAGATATGCTTTATAATATTTACCATGATAGCATACATGATTTACTACATGCATTCCAAATATGATGAACACACACTCTACTGTAAATCCTCTAAAGCACTTTTCAGATATTTTGTGCACAGGATATTGAGGTGCTGATTCAAATGCAAGGATTATTACTATATGAGTAGTAGAGAAAGGGTGACAGGTTAATAAAAATATTAGTGACATAAGAGATGAAGATAATACTACTAATAATAGTCCTTACATAGATACACTTTCATGCTAGGAGGACATCCCAACCTCATCTTATGTAAGACACATTTTATTGAGTGAAGTAACGGAGAGGGTGGATGAAGGTAGTACAGTTGACGAAGATAAATTGATATTTATTCAAATTGGGATTGATTTTCAAAAGGCGATTGATAAAGTGCCACATAAGAGACTTGTAAGCAAAATAGAAGCCTATGGTATTAAAGGGATTGTGGCAGCATGGATATAGAACTGGCTGGGGGACAGAAAGCAGAGAGGTGGTGAATGGTTGTTTTTCTGACCTGTGGGAAGTGATGCTCNTTTTTAATCTATATAAATGACCTGGACTTGGATGTAGGGAGTACAATTTCCAAGTTTGCAGTTGACACTAAGCTAGTAAAACGTGTAAAGAATGAGGAGGATAGTAGCAGACTACAAGAGGACATAGACACACTGGTAAAGTGGGCAGACATGTGGCAGATAAAGTTTAATGTGGAGAAATGCAAAGTGATGCATTTTGGGAGGAAGAATGAGCAGAGGCAATATAAACTGATGGTACAATCTTAAAGGGGGTGAAGGAACAGAGAGACCTGGGGGTTCATATAAGTAAATCTTTGAAGGTGGCAGGACTGGTAGATAAAGCTGCTAAGAAAGCATACGGATACTAGAATTTATAAACAGGGTCATACAATACAAAAGTCAGGAAGTTATGATGAATCTTTATAAAACACTGATTAGGCCTCAGATAGAGTACTGTGTTCAGTTCTGGGCACCACACTTTAGGAAGGATGTCAAGGATTGGAGAGGGTGCAAAGGAGATTTACCAGGATGGTACCACGAATGGTACCAGTTATCAGGAGAGGCTAGAGAAGCTAGGATCATTCTCCTTGGAGCTGAGAAGGTTAAGAGGAGACTTAATAGAAGTTTTCAAAATTATGAGGGGATTCGATAGGGTGAACAAGGAGAAACTGTTTCCACTGGCGGGTGGGTCGGTAACCCGAGGACACCGACTTAAAATAGTTGTTAAAAGAAACAGAGGAGAGGTGAGGCAACATTTTTTTCACACAGCAAGTTGTTCGGATCTTGAATGCATTGTCTGAAAGGGTGGTGCAAGCAGATTTAATAACAACTTTTAAGAGAGAAGTAGATAATGGGGAGAGCGCGGGGGAGTGGGATTGATTTGGATAGCTCTTTTAAAAGAGCTGGCACAAACACTATGGGCCGAATGGTCTTCTCCTGTGCTGTAAAATTCTATGATTCACCCTAAGCAAATGCTCCATTAAACAATATACCAGAATCAGAAAAGTGGAGGTTACATGAAAGAGAATAAGAGATTTCATAGGAGAAGGTGCAAAGGATCTGATGTTCAGGATAACAATCTCAACAACAATCCATTCACATCTATGCTCTTCTCATTACAACTATATAGACTATTATAGCACGGAAACAACCCAATTAGTCCATGCTGGTGTTTATATTCCACAAGAGCCTCCAATCCACAACTGTCTATTCCTTTCTCCCTCAAATATGCACCAAGTTTTTCTTAAATGCATTGATGCTTTCTGCTCCTGGCAGTGAGTTCTACATTCTCACCACTCTACATATAAATACGTTCCTCCTTCTAGCTCTGTTAGTGTCTATCTTAAAGAGGACGAGTAATACAAATATCTGCACGGATGACATTATTAGTGCTCTTGACTGAAAGGTTACTTTGTCAGCATATGAAAGATTAGATTGTTGGCTTTCGCTTCCTCCCATAGGAGAGCCTGACCAAGTTTAGCAAACTCAGCGTTAGAAGAGAGTTCAAATGCCAGTCACTGGGATGTGCTCTCAGGTCACTCTGCTACAGTATTAAAGTAGTTGAACAAACATGCCACTATAGCAAAAAAAATTCTACAAATATATTTTGCAGCAGATAATTAAATTTTCATATAAGAACTGCAAGAAAGGGTGCTTGTATTTTTTTAAAAAAAATAAATGGTTCAACATCACTCTTTAGAATGCTGACAAAGTTATAACTTGCACTTAGAAAGCACATTCATGTACAACTTTAAACAGGATCAAAAACACTTAAAGCAAGAGCTGCCTCTTCTGAATGCTGCACCTTTTAATGCACAATAAGCTAAAAAAAAACACTAAAACAATCACTCACACTGAATCTGTATCTTTTTCTTTCTTTGCTCGACCTGGTATTCCGAAAGTTTTTCTTTTTGACTTCTTCACTCCTGCATTATAAATACTAATTAGCATTAGCATGTTAGCAAATTTTACATCAAAAGATACTTCACAAGAAAAAAAATCCATAATGTACTAAACAAATGTCTGTAAAGACACCATTCAAGAACAAAAATTCAGTCATTTACACGAGTATTTTTATTTAATTATGTAGAAATAATCTCAAAAATAGATTTGCACATTGTACTTTGTAAGTACAAACATCAGTTATATATTCTAAAGAGAAAAATACCTTCTAGCGCATTTGCTATGTTACATTCTTCAAACTCGATGGGTCCTGAAACAAAAAACAAATAAATATAAAATCTATTTGTCTTTCAAGTACCTTTGTTAAATTCTAGTTCAGCTACAATGTTTTTTCTCAAATACTTTATATAAACTATTAAGCATTAGGCAACATCTTTACTATAACAACATTATATTTGTATAGCACTTTTCACGTCGGGAGGATGTCCCTAGGCGCTGGACAGTCAGAGTTTCGGACCTGAGCTGGTGGTCGAGATTGGGGAGGGTGGAGGGCAGGGGGGGAAGCAGGGTAATCGAAAGCACAGTCAAAGAGGAGGGTCTTGAAGGAGTTAAGGGACGGGGCGAGGCGGAGGCACTGTGGGATGGAGTTCCAGAGAGCGAGGGCAGAGTGGCAGAAGGCCCATCTGCCAATGGTGGGGTGGGTGAGGCGGGGGACGTGAAGCAGACCGGAGCCTGCTGAGTGGATGGAGCGGGCAGGATGGTAGGGGTTTAGGAGGTCGCAGAGGTAGGTGGGAGCAAGATCATGAAGGGCTTTGAAGGTGAGGACCAGGATCTTGAACTGTCTCCTCTGTGTGATGGGAACCCAGTGGAGTTGGGCGAGAATGGGGGTGATAGGGTCACGGAGCTTGGTGCGAGAGAGGACACGGGCTACAGAGTTCTGGATGATCTGCAGCCTATGGAGGGAGGAGTTGGGGAGGCCGGCAAGCAAAGAGTTTGCATAGTCGAGCCTTGATGTAATGAATGCGTGTATGAAGGCTGCGGTTCCTACTTACAACTACAAATGTTTACAATTATTCAGACCACATAACTTTCTGTGAAGCTGTAGGTCTGAGACATAATTAATCATCATATTTTAAGACAATATTCCTCAAAATAAATCATTCACTGAAGTTGCTAGCCATCAACTTTAGAGTAATAGAAACCAAGAAATATAGATATATATATATATATCTATAAATAATCCTTGCATTTGGTATAGCGCCTTTCATGTCAGGAGGACATCCCAGAGCCATTTACAAGTTTGGACTGTGAAGTGGAGTGAACAGTGTATTTGTGGGCGGTTTTATATATATATATACACACATACACACCATATATATATTATTATTATTATAATAGGAGGGTCCTGTTATAAATCACTTCTTTATAGTGCTGATTTGGTTATAAAGCAATTGCATTTTAGAGCTCATCCATTCTGTATACAATCAGTTGCCCCATTTGTTTCCAGGCACCACCTATCTTTCGTGTAAAACAGCAGATTTCCCAGTCATTCGGCTGCTGCCAACATCATTTGCTGTTTTGCACATGTGCAGTACATTAAAGCAGCACACGTGGAAGTCGTCTTTTTTAAGCACAGGAAACAGCTGATCCATGGGTGTGTATATAAAAGGAAATGTTACTGCTAGGTAAATGGCCCATTTATACATCGAGGTGCACTGACTATGGTGATCTTCAATGGCCAAATAGTCAGCCTGACCCTGCAATATAGCAATAAGGCTTTGATATTACTGGACTATATGATGCTTCCCAAAGAAAATGAAAATTGTAATGGAAACAACAGCACATGTGCACGTTTACTTTTCAAGTAATGCCAAAGGTATTCAGTTTCTGCTGTTCGAGCAGAACATAGGAGCTTAACACTCAACCTCATTGTAGACTTGAGTTCTATTTGAACTTTCTTGGTTCTGAAGTGTGACATAAACATGCTTTTAGATCGCCTTGAGGCCATTTCAAAGGCACTGTTGACCGAGGCCTGGAATACGTTCTATATATGTCCTCTTGCTCAACCAATAGTGCCTGATCTAAAGAAAGGCACTTCACAAGACAAAATTGTTTTAAAGCACAAAATATTCAATCTAGGAAATATAAGTATTTTGTTGGGCTGGATTTTATATTGTGGGCTTCCTAGATTAAGAGGTAAATAATGATAGCTTTTTTTAAGACCTCACAGTTTATTTATGGTGTTAAAATGCAATTTAAAAAGAAATCTCAGATGATCCTAACAGTGTCCACTTTTAAGCTAATTTTGCCTATTAAGAAATGACAACAAGTCTATTGCATCTATTGAAGCATCAAATAGTATCTGAAAAATAGCGTCAGGCTGTCGAGTGGTGGAAACATTCAGCTGTAGTGCCCCAAACTGGTGTGGCTATAAGATTTCAGGCTTATTAGTCAAGATGAGCTTGTTTATTTTTAAACAACAAACGTGTTTCAAGAAATAGTGCAATTGTATGTTCCCAGCTACATTGCTGAATTTTATTACCGATAGCCATTGTTTAAGAGATAATCCGTTTCAATATACATACATATTAACGTAAATTATGCTAAACTAAAATTTGAGCACACCAATACTACGAAACAAGATTTCAATAAAGTACTAAACGCAATCACTGTAGGAATTCTGATGGTTTGGGGATGGAAAATCTTCATCTACATTTAATGCAAAAAGTCAAATATAAGATGATCTGAAAGGGAGTTTAAAGCACACATATCCTTTGTTTCGAAGCAATTGGTGCCAAAACAGTCTAACTCCAGCATTTACGACAATACTGTGCGCAATATTAGCTACTGCTTTTTGCCCACAAAATACACAGTCAATTCACTTTACAGTATATTTTGTAAATCACTTTGAGACATCTCAAAGACGTGAAAAGGTGCTATATCAAATGCAAAGACTATTATTATCATTAATACAGAAACTACAAAAATCTGTCAGAAATACCAAAAGTTTACAATTTCAGTGAAACATGCAGACAACAAACCAATTTTTATAACAAGAATTTTTTTTGATCCTTGAAAGCACGCATGACAGGAGGAGAGTTTTTAAATTGCATATGGTTCAAGTACTGCTTGAAGCAGTGAAACCCTTGCGTGCCTGGCTCAGAGCCAGTTGACAACTCAGCTGGATATCAATGCACATTTTGACCCCCCTCGCAGCGCGTCACTTCGGAATTGTTTCCGCAGTAGAAAGTTTATTCAACCTCTCTCTCAAAAGCACTGGACCGATTATCATTCTGCTATTTGATCATGGAAAGACATGTTATTTTTCTGACAGCACTGAAGACACAGTGCAATTCCTAATGAACAGCTTGATACAAGAGGAATTTTAAATGTTTTAGCCTCAATTAATTCTGCTGTCAAAACAAATGGTAACTGTTGGTACTTTGATGTTAAGCTTGCTCACAAAGGTCAATTTTTGTATATATAAAACACATCCAAACAATTTGTATTTTGAATGCCTGATGTCTCTCAAGTAGCTGTTCAGAACAAAAATCACAATGATTTATTTTTTAAAAAAAAGCACAACAGCTGGAGACCACTGACCATATATTATTAACAAGGCAACAGTTTTATTGCATTAGACCTAAGCAACAATATAAATTATTTATGGTATGTCAAGACGAGCCCGATGAGGAAATAAGGTGTCTAAAACTGCACTTTGTAAGCAAAATGCATAGTCAAACAATACCCTTTTAATCAGTGTAGTGTTATTTTTATATCATGCAAATGTGTCTGACAATAAGATTATAGTCACCATTAAACAATTTTTTGCAAAAGGTAGTAAGAATTTCATCTCAATGTTTAATTGATTAATTCTGACCAGAATTAAATTTCCTCAAATTGAGAAGCGAATTACAACACGGTTTACATTTATATACTGTAGCACCTTTCATGTCGGACAGACCTCTTAAAACGCTGAGCTGAAGTTGGAAACCGAAGAGGATGGGGAGGGAAAAGATGACTGAAAGTCTGGTTGGTCGTTAGGGTTGAAGGAGATTCTAAATTATGTCTTGCAGTGATGTGCTCCAAGACACTACCCCATGTGAAGGGCACTGTACAAGTGCAAGTTGTTGTAATTTATCAAGTCCATTGGTAATTTTAAGTTATGTGAGTAATAAAAGTTCACATTTTATCACTCATTTTCTATCATGAGCATTTTAACTGCAAATTCATCTTTAGATCACTGCAGTAACTATAAAGAGATCATTTTGTTGAGCTAATGCCCGATATAATGAATCAAACAATGCAGAATCAAATAATAATCTTTATTTGCTATAGTGCTTCAAAGTGTTTCAAAGAGCTTCACAGGATTTACGATAGAATGCAGTGGCTATGTATTTAGAGGCATATTTTTAATAATAGAATGAGTTGGGGAAAACTGAGCTCAACAAATTTACTGAAAATCTCTTTTTAAGGTTACTCTCTTGAAGGCCAATATGGATTCCATCTCTACTACTCCTGGTAGGGCATTCCATATTCTACTAACTCTGTGTGACAACATTTCTCCTAACCTCCCCCATTTATTTGTTCGTTTACTAAATGTGTTAAATTGATACCCTCCAGGGGTACAGACCAGTGGGAATAATTTTCCCCAATTTTATGTCATCTGCAAACATAGAAATTGTGTTATATCAGAATCTAGATTATTTAGATATATCATTTATATATAATGCATATATATTTATGTTTATACATATGGAGAAAAGCAATGGTCCTAACACTGACCCCTAGGGGACACCACTATTTACATCTCTCCTTTGCAGATAACAGCCCTGTACTCCAACCCTTTGTTTCTCATTCTTTAACCAACTTTCTATCCACTTTGCTGCCTTTCCATTTATACTATGCACCTTTTTTGAAAAACAAATCTCCCATGCAGCACCTTATCAAAGCTTTCTGAAAATCCATATATACCTCATCCACTGCATTGCCTTCATCTATTGTCTTGGTTATCTTGTCAAAAATTCTATTTAAATTGTCAGCAAGACTTGCCTTTATGTTCTTATGTACCCCCTTCATTAACAGTAGGAATAAGTCTACTTTTTACCCTGTTTATCTCAGGTATGAAAGTTTCTCACTGCTCATATAAAGTCTTACCTGCCAGCTCTCGTACCCAATTCATCCATGCCTAGTTCCCTCTCAACTCTTTGAAATTTGCCGTTTTCCAGTTGACTGTTTCTTTGACTGTTTCTCCTTTTTCAATTTTAACATTAAAACTAATATTGTCATGGTCGCTGTTTCTTAAATGCTCCCCCATTCTCACTTTACTCATTTGCTCCACTTCATTTCCTAGAACAAAATCAAGTCTAGCCTCCTTCCTAGACTGGAAGCATACTGATTAAGGAAACAATCCTGCACACACTATAGCAAAACGCTCTAATTTTCTTTAATTACCAAATTCATTTTTAAACAAAGTGCTGTAATGAAAGAGTTGCCCTTCCCATTAGATCATTTGTGTACAGGCAGAAACCATGGCACATTGTTCTCTAGAAGTCTCTGGTGATGAGGAGGCTGTGCTCCATCTCTTTCTGGAATGTGCATTTACCAAAAGTCTGGAAATCAATGATCCAAATGCTGTCAAAGTTTTATCTCCAGTAGCTTCATAACACCAATTGTGCTCTGTTCCTCAGACACACAAGAATGCTCTTGGACATTGTTTGGTCTGCTCGATGTCTGATAATTTTAAAATGCAATGAGGCTACAGAATAATGCATTTCATGGTCCAGAACTATGTGCTCAGGGAAGTAATGGGACTTGGTGCACTTGAGACTTGGGAAAAATGGGACTCGCCAGCAATCATTAGACTTGTAATAAAGTGAACAGAACAGAAAGAAAACACCTCAAGTGCTTTTCCTGAAACTTAAAGAGCATTCCTGTATAACATGTACAAAGCTAAATAAAAATGTAGTTACCTTATTGATAAAAGTAAAACACTGATTAATTAACTTGGGATATGTATATTTCAGTTTTTATTTGAGCTTGCTTGTCAGACAGATGAGAATGTTATTGGAAAATGTTATAGTATTTCTCCAGGGTACTCAACATTTACATGATTTTAAGGCGTCTGTACTTGTACATTAATAATGTAACACAAAATCTTAACTGATGTACTTCAATAAAATAACAAAAGTACTTTGCATTAAACTTAATGACTGGAATACTTATAATTTAATTCTGCATAAAGTTTATTTCTGGCGAAAAAAGTGTGAAATTATTTTTTACATTTACTTCATTTAGTTTTACAAAAGGAATACTAAGGGAGAACCTCCCTTCTTTGAAATATTACAGCAATTGGATTTAGGAGGATGTAAAACATTTTGAAATGCCTTGATCCAAATTATTCCATTTACAAAGGATGCATGTGACAAAGCAATTTCTTTAAAAATCATTGAGGTCAAAGAGGTCAAGAATGACAGATCATTTTTCAAAACAGATACTGTGCTACAATCTTGTACAATACTACAAATGAAAGCTGTTAGTTAGCAAGATCAGTGCCTGGTACAAGTCATTGAACTCGATTGCTTGTAATTATTGAACTTTGTTGATTTTAACCTTTTTCATCAAGATCAATATCCTGAAATTGTTGATAAACAGAGAATGTTAATAAATATCTGCGATTTCCCCACATCCACCTTGTAGACAAATGAACAAGAAAATTACATTAGAAAACTAGTGGATAAATTTATCACGTGGTGGAGTACTAAATTAGACAGAAATGTTCCCGTGCTGAGTGAAGGAAAGAAACAGTTGGCAGACTGTTCCTCAATTAGATTGACAGCTAACATCTTAACATGCTAACATCCTAGGTCCAGATTTACAGATGGTGAAAATGACCTGTTACTGAAGAGATATAACTAAAACTGTGCCTGTTATCTTATAGAAAATTGTTGAAGACTTCCCCGCCACAGTGCCTTCGGAAGCCACTTTATGGTGGAGCATGGCTCATCAAGCAATTATCAACAAGCATGCACTGGGCTATTCATGCTCTTGTACTCGTTACTAAAATGTACTGGTTTACTTTGTTTAAGAAGTTTCAACTAACACTAGATTAATGGCTTTCACTGGAAAAACAATACTTAAACACGTTCTTCAGGAAACTGAATAAGTTACATCTGTTATAAGACATTTTAAAGTTTGTATTTACAAATATACAAGAATAACAGAAACTTGCTTCACTTTAATTTTACATTTCAATGTGGTGAAAGGCAGCTAACTTTACAAAACTGAAGAGACGGCAAGCAGTAATCACCATTTCTCAAAAGTATTACTCAGTTCTGTGGATATAGCACACATGCATTTAAAAAACTCAAAGAGCCAGTATTACTGTTAATACATTCACACACTTAAAACTCTTCTATATTAATGTACTTAAAAAAAACAACTATATTTATTGGTTGAACAGCAAAGCAAAACCTTCTGGATTTACATCCTGGGCCTACGCCACCTTTCATCCTTTCCAAGTTACCCGTCACAAAAAAATATTTTAAAAAGAAACCAAGGGGGGCAATATTTAAATGCATCGTTAACAAAAGCCTGGATCATAAACTCTTGATCTTAAGTTTTGCTCATCAAGCATTCAGGTGTTAAGAACAGAAATATTTCTGACCTCTGTTCTCTGAGTAAAGCAATCTCAACAGGGAGGAATTTCCCATCTGGTTGGTGAACAGTTCTATATATACAGCACAGAAGGAGGCTATTCGGCCCATCGTGTCTGTGCTGGCTCTTTGAAAAGAGCTATTCAAATCAATCCCACTCCCCCATTTTCTCCCCATAGCCCTGCAAATAATTATCTACTTCTCTCTTAAAAGTTGTTATCAAATCGGCAATGCCTTCCAGATCCAAACAACTCGCTGTGTGAATTTTTTTTCCCTCATATTATATATATATATAATATTAAAAAATCTTATAAGGCCTCCACTATGGTTGTTTTTCTCCAGTAACTGTCTCTCCAGTTAACTTGTACAGTCACCCAACAACAAACACAGAAAGAACAATACTTCTGATTGAAGAAAATAGGTGAAGACTACATTAAATGATAGATGGATTTCATTAAGGAGTTCACAAAATATATTCCAATAGGTCACAACAATTTTCTCAGTGACAATAGATCAGTATTTATTAACAGCTCAGCTAAATTATTTATGCATGATCTATCTTGCCCCTTTGTCAGGAAAATGTACATGTTAAAACTTTGACAAAAGTCTTTCCACCAATGCACTGTTAGCTTCTGAAATTACTGGCTGCACTTCGGTGCATGTGTGCAATAAGTAACATCATTAAATATGAAACTTTTTACAAACCAGTGCATTTGCATATTTTCCATGATTACCCCATCTACCCTGCGCACATACTCTCTGTGCTAGAACCTGCTCAGAGCCAGGAATGAAGAAAAGTAGATGAAGCCAAGAATGTTCTTGATTACAGCCTTTTTACTGGGCTGTTTTCTAGTCTCTCCTATTTTCATGTTCCTTCCAGTGTTCAGATTACATAATGAAATAAGCACCCAGAGGGAAAGTGAAGACATCTGGTGGTATACACAATGTTAGCTTAATCAATATCATCCCGTATGGAATTTGGTGGCTTTACCATCATCCATTCCATTCCCTGACAGTGGCCACGGAAAGTAGCGGTAAAGTGAGGTGAAGCAAAAGAAAGTTGATGTTAAACTAATGCCAAACTATGAACACAACAGGTTATATTATTTTTTCCAAAGCTATGTCTCAAACAGAAAAAACAGGTTGTGAATACACAGTTCACACGATATTACTCTTACCAGGTCTGTCTTTGCCGGTCCCCTTTGTTTCAGCAAGCTTCTGTATCAGGCTTTCAACAGTTGTGCTCTCCATATTCTGTACTAACTCCTCATGCACCTGGGTATCAACAGAAACAATTTTTTTCAGAGGAGTTTGTTGGCTGGAGTACAACTTAACTTTACATAATTTTTATCCAGCAGTGTAAACGTGTACTGGTATGCCAACACTAAAGTGCAGAACACAATAAAATAAAAATAGGGTATTGGGAAACACAAAACAGATTAAAACCACTTGAGACCAGGAATTTCATCTAATTCTATCCTGTGACATCATGTTGGTCTTAAAATTTAAGATTGCATAGAAATGTTTAAATTCAGCAGCCAGTTTCTTCAGTTGATAAGGAGGTTTCAAATTAATACAGGTTTTTCGCATTTTACACAATTCTTCGCAAACTTCAATTTGAAGATAAATGGTTTTACAAAATAAGACTAAGACTTTGGGGCCTTAGTGTTCATTTTAGGAAATTATATGGCCACTTCTTGAGTTTCTCGCCAATGAAAGCTGTGAACCCTTTATCTTAAAAATGGATAGTTTATTTAGCCAAGGTTTGCATTACACAAATGCACAGAAGCCTAAATATTTACAAACATAAATACATTAGTCCTTTATTATAACACAGATTTGTTGCAAGCTACCAAATAGTTGTCCAATAAAAGCTATTGGATCTATGCTGCTGTATTTAATTTAGAGAAAAACATGGTGCTGTAATAAAATTACTGCTGCCAGTTTTTTAATAGATAAGATTTTTTACTGGTTGCTTTCATATTTTCTAATTTGTGGGTTGTTATTCATATGGTCTGTTTTAAAACAAGCTATGCAAAAATACCCAAAAGAGCCATAAAACATAATAGTACATTTTAATGGAGCTTTTACTATTTCTATTAGACAGACCAATGGAGAGTGCATAAAAACTTGAGTCGGTTTTACGTCTATTCAGAAAATCCGATTTATAGATATTAGCTAAAGTTCTTGTCACTTTTTTTCCAGTATGTGCAAAATTCTACGGCAAGATGAGTAAGACACTAACTAGCCAGTCTTACTCATCTCAGACCCTAAAACTTTTCCAATACTGTGGGTCGATGTAAGGTCAAAATATATTGGGTTACAATTGATAAATTTTGCAGTTACATCTAGCAAAATGTTCCCTGTAAGAAATACACTGAGTCACTCCAGACAGGAAGCTCCCAGGTTTAATACCTGACCTGCACTGTTACCCAATCTTAAAAGTGACTGAGTAGCCTTGGTGCAGTTATTTCGCCCACAAATATAGTCAATTCACTTTACAGTCTATTCTGTGAAGCGCTTTGAGACGTGTAGAAGACGTGAAAAGCGCTAAATCAAATGCAAGGATGATTATATTATAGAGTTGCCCATTACGTTAGCCACTAACCATATATGGTGAATTGGGAATCTTGATGTGGCAAAATTACCCTTTTGATTAGTAAATAAAAAATGAGTAATAGACATCATCATTGGTCAAGTGACCTCAATACTCATATTCACATGATGTATCCATGTGTACTTTGACCATTTTGTGCATTTGTTGGTAAAACCCCGCACGACAACAACGTGCATTTATACAATGCCCTTCACACGTCTCGAAGCACTTAAGTGACATAACATACTTACTTGACCAATCTGTATGTGAGTTTCATCTATTGAATATGCAAAACAACGAAGTATTTCTTTCATATGCCTAAGATGAGCTTCTTCTATTTCCTGAAATTTCTATGAGGCAAAAGGATATAAATACATTAAAAGTATTCGATAATAATAGTTCCAAACGTTCACTAAGCTAAACAAAGACAAGGAAACGAAACATATGTGGAGGTAAATTGAAATACCGAGACATCAAATATCATAATATGTCACATAATTCAAACTGTTAGAATGATATTGGGGAACTAGTGATGGCTTAAGCTTGACAAGGACAAATTTGTTGAGAACACCAGAATCAGTAAGGCACCTGAATGAAGTGTAGATGTTAAACAACAATGTATTATGGTAACATACAATCCCCTTCTGCAGTTTTTTTAAAAAAAACAAAAATCACCTCAGAGTCATCACTCATCACTGTATGCTCTGGGCTAGGAACACATCCGTATCAGTTGTCAACACAGAGTATTAATGACGTAAAGGCCACTCAATTAAAGCAGGTGAAGCTGATTCTGCCAAATTTTTGTCCATCATGAAATAGAACACCATACTATAATGCATTTTTTCAAATGAAATCTGGTGCAAAATCCAGTTAAAATGTTAAGCAGCCGTCAGATTTATGTTGGGTGCAAGAGCTTAATCACTGATATCTTCATCAAGTTACAGAGACTCTGTATCCAAAATAATGTATTTTGGGGCCAAAGCAACCATTTTGCCCATAGCAATGTCTCACAAACAGTTATGATGTGAATGACCAATTTTATCTGGGGGATAAGATTGTTGGCCAGCACAATAGAATAAATTACCTTCTCTTTTTGAATAAGTAACCAACATTGGATCTTTAATGTCGAGACAGAACATCCATTTAATGTCTCACCTGAAGGACGTCAGCAACTCCGCCAATGCAGCTCTCCCTCAATTGAGAGATGAAATAAGTGAGCACGCATTGTGGAAGTTGCTGGAAGGCAGCGTTAGATAACCTCAATTTCCATTTCCCCCTCCCTAATAGTCAAACAATCTGCCAACACTTGCTCTCTTGAGCTTAAAAAAATATAAGAAAGACTACTTCAGCAACGCACAAGAGGGCTATTAGCATGTGCTTCACCATCATCACTGCTTTCAGAAGAGAGAGAGAAGGGAAAATAAATAACATGAAATTCCCAAGCTAAATCATTTTAAAGGTATACACAATTCAATTAACAATGCAATTCTTCATTGATTGTGTGAACAATTTGAATTTTTTTCAGAACTTTCTTATTTCAATGTGAAGCGCTTTGAGAAGTCTCGATGACGTGATAAGGCGCAATATCAAATGCAAGCATTATTATTATGTAAGTGAAGGATCACACTCTGCAATGGTCTTCAGGCTTCACAGTACACAAGTTTATTGCTGAATAGATGTTCACAAAAAATCTAGTGCACTCTTATTATTGCAATACATACCTGTGCTGTTTCTGTCATTTTCTGTTCAAAGTCTGTTCTCGCTGTGGCATATTTCTCTACATACAATTTATAGGTTTCTGTAGCTTTTTTAGATTTTACAACTGCCTGAACAGAATACAAAGGAGAAAAATAAAGGTTACAGTGTAGCACTTTATTTGTTAAAACAAGGAAGATATTCTGAAAGCAGACCAGTACAAAAAAAATGAAACATACATTTCAAAGTACAGTGGAAGCCGCTTAAGACGGACACACTCCCGGAGCTGGCTGTTTGTCTGGCTTAAGTGGCGCCCGAGGTTAACCAAAGTTCTCGTCCTGCCCATTAGTGGAGAGGTGGCGGCGCCTCCTCCCTCCCATTAGCATTCCGTTGGACGGGAAAGGAACCATTTAATGCGGTGCCGGGTGATTGACATCCGGAAGCCGCTTATGAATGGCTGGAGTTTGCTTCAATCAATTACAATTTGACTCCTCCCATCTCCATCCCGGAGTCGCTTGTGGCTGGCTGAATGGAGCCGCTCAAGACACAGAATACGCGAGTGAGTTGACACGGCAGCGAACAGCATGGCATTTTGTCTGGATTAATCAGAATATTGACTGAATTAACAGGCATATTGAAAACAGGTAAAAATACAAATTTATCTGGGCTGCACGTTTTGACCGATTTACCCGGTGTCAGTGGTTAACTGGCTAAAACGGCTTCCACTGTTAATTAATTTCCAGCATTAATTTTCAACTGTTCAATTAGCTGTAGGTAAGTGAAGGATTAGATAGGTAGCTCATGCGAACAAAAACTTGATGAGCCAAATGGTCTGCTTCTGTCCAATTGCGCACAGCTGTGTCCCACAAACAGTTGTGGATTGAAGTGACCAGTTCATTATTATAAGGAATTATTTCCCACGGAAAAGCAATCCTTCAATCGACTAACAACTGGGTTCCTACTTACTGCTAGGTAAACAGAGGCGTTTGGAGTAAGGAAACTTGCCCAACTTTTCACCCTGCTGGGAATCGAACCCAGGTTGTGAGGCAAGTGCTCTAACCTGTAGCTGTGGAGTCTTGTAGCTCAGTGTTTAGAGCACCCGCCTCACAAGTGAGAGACCTGGGTTCAATTTCCGCAGGGCAAAATGTTTGGCAAGTTTCCTTACTTCACATGCCTCTGTTTACCTAGCAGTAAGTAGGAACACAGTTGTTAGTCGATTGAAGGATTGCTTTTCCGGGGAGAATAATCCTTCAAAAAAAGCACAACAATAATTTGGTCACTCAATCCACAACTGTTTGTGGGACACTGCTGTGTGCAATTTGCTGCAACGTTTTGCAAACTTAAATATATGGTCAATTCACTTGAACAGTATATTCCATGAAGCGCTTTGAGATGTCTAGAAGACATTAAAGGGCTGTATCAAATGCAAGGATTTTAAAAAAAATATTATTTAACCACTGAGCTACAGGACTCCACAAATGGAATAAAACATAACAGAATAAAAAGACCTGACTCTCAGGGCTAATATTCCAATCTAAAAGCTGATCAAAGAGGTTCAAAAGCTTACCTTTTCAACTTCTTTCTGTGTTGCCCCTTCTTTTTTTAATCTCTCATATTCTAAACATTTGGTATTGTAGTTTTCCTTGGATTTCTGCAGTGTTTGAGTAATGCTCTGAATGTTCTGTACAGCTTCCAAGGTTCCCGCCACTTCTTCTTTAGTCTATCATACAAAAGAGATAATTGAAAATGAGATGCTTCTAAATTATTAGCTACATATGGTAAAGGTTATACCTCCAGCATCTATTTATTACAATCCCTGGTATCAATAATAAGGTGTTGTTGAAAGTTTTACAAACAAAATACATTCATAACATCATTCAGTTGTGAAGGTAAGGTTAGCAGGGAATGAATTTATCCCCTTTTATCCTGTAGTGTAGTAATTTACAATGGAAAAAAAAACTACACTGTTTACCCACTGTTAAAAGCACAAAAACTAAAGTTTTTAAAGAGGCCAGGAAGGTCATCGTCTATCTAAAGTGCCCTAAAAGCTAAAAAAAAAATAAACAATGCTATTTCTATCATCTGGAGATGGGTAGTACATTATTATCTGATATTGGTTTAATACAAAAGGTTAAGTCATTTGTTGACCAAAATTCTTCCATAGTTATCCCAGAATAAAGTCAGTTCAATGGAATGGACAACTACAGTAAAACTCACATAAATCATATAAGTTGGACCACAACATTTAATATGACTTTTACGAGTGCAAGTTGCAGGTGAGTTGTACGTTGTATAAATTCCGATTTAATTAATAATCTACATTATGCATGCATAATTTCATGCAGCCGGTAAGTGCATATGGTAGTTGGCACTGCAGCCGTGAAATGTACATGCTGGGACGGGTCAAGACTACATTTATCATGATTAAATGTGCCTTGATCCATCACCTTGTGCGCACTTAACGCAAGCTTTGGAATCGTATTGAATCGCGGGAGATGGAAGTTCTTCTGTGCAAGTGTCGATGGGTAAAGACTATGTTTCCCGTGATTCAATGCAGCCAGCCGTTAAGTCTGCATGCGTCGACGGGTAAGGATATAATTTCCCATCATTCAAAGCAGCCAGCAAATGCAGGAGTAATGAAAGGGAGTGGCATTATGAGTTAGGGGGTGAATAATACGAATAGTGCAAACGTTTGATAGGAAACTGAATGGGACTTAGATGATTATATAAATTATAAAGATAAGACTTTGCGAGTTTCAATAATAATCCTTGCATTTGATATAGCCCCTTATCACATCTTCGAGATGTCTCAAAAGGTTTCACAGAATATATTGTAAAGTGAATTGACTGTATATTTTGTGGGCAAAATGCAGCAGCCATAAACAGTCATGGATTTAAATGACCAAATTATTATTAAGTTTTACTGTATAGTACCAGGCAGTAGAGCATTAGTGAATCTACCTTACCCATCCAATTTTGCATAAGATTCCTTCAATACATCTACCTCATTAGCGAATAACTAATGTTTTCATTTTCAGATTTCCTACTAGAACCCTTTACAGTTCCTTAACAATAATTGATGAAAGTTCAGTTTCCAAAAGTTGTCAAGCATACACATTTATTTACCTTTTTATGTGCTTTTGTTTGCTCGTCTCCATATTTCTGTACTTCTTTTATTAATTCTTGTAGTTTTCGTACAAGATCTAAATGACTACTGGCTAACTTTTCAGTTGAAGATTTTAAAACATCCCAGAGTGGTGCAAAGGTCCTGAAAGAATAAAAGTATTTGCAGAGATAAACAAATAACATGGGTAACAATAAGAGAAGGGTGTCAGGTAATGACATTTTTAGATCTTACAATTAGAATAAAAATCTGACCGACACTTACCCCAACTGACTGTAATTACTTGATGTTTTGGCTAATTTGGTCATAGACCTTGAATAGGTATCTTCTATCGTTACACTGTTGAGAAAAAAAAAGAACAGTTATTCACGTATCATTTCAACAATTTGTGTTTCTTTTAAACAAAGAATTCCTGTAAAAGCCTGGGTTAGCTGGTAGCACTCGGAGTCAGGTGGTTGTTGGTTCAACATTGGAACTATGAATTCACATCATCTAGGTTGAAATTCCAGTGCAGTGCTGGGAGTATACTGCATTGCCAGAGGTGCCTTCTGTCAGATGAGACATTAAAATGAGATCCCATGTGCTTGTTCGGGTGGATGTTAATGATCCCATGGCATTATTCATAAAGAGAAGGAAGTTTTTCTCAGTGTTCTGGCCAACAATCCCCAAACAAAATTGATCACTCAAATCATGGCGGTTTGTGGGACTTTGCTGTGTGCAAATTGGCTTTCATGTTCGCCTACAAAATAGAGTCACTACATTTTGCAGTAAATCCTATGAAGCACTTTGAGACGTCCTCTCGACATGAAAGGAACTAAATCAAATGCAAGAATTTCTAACATCTTAACCTTTAAATAATAATCTGCGTACATGAATAGAGAAGAGAAGCATATATGAAAAGTAATGGAATAGAAGGGGATGAGGGAAGGGTGGGGGGTAATCAAAAAGGGTGGAAGCTCATGTAGAGTGGAGCATAAACACTGGCTTGGACTATTTGGGCCGAATGGCCTGTTTGGGGTATAGATTCCACGAATGTAATTCTGACATTGAGGCTGGCAGTCTTGGTAAAAGTTTTTGTTGAGACTTGTATTTAAAATCTTCTGCAGTTCTTATGTTGCTCTATTTTATTAAAGGCAGCTTCAGATGCTGCAAACACACAAAGAGGGGAGGGAAGAGAAGTTAAGTGATACAGTAAGGGCATTTGAAGCATTTACTCTAATGTAGACATTTTAAAAATAAACTCCTGACATATCGTCATTCCAAAAGAAAAGAGCTCATGACTTTTATAGGCACGAGTCCTCTGGGCTCACTGTGAGGCACTGTGGCCAGGAGGGCCTACACCAGCACATACCTGTGCAGAGTAAGCAACTGTCACTGTGACAGAGCGGCCCCAGACCCCACGATTGTCAATTTATTGGTGAAAACTTGATTAAGTACAATATAAGTATATGTTTACGCATACGCATATGTGTCTATAAATGTGCTTAGTTTCTGTTTCCTATCGCTTATTTCTGTTTACTGTATTGGAAACTGTGCACTTCTCGGGAGATGTACTGTAGTATATTAAAGAACAATGATACTGTGCTTCCATGTTACGTGAACACCAAACATCTTTACATAATAAACAATTTGCATATAACTATATACAATATTCTTAATCATTTTCAATATGACGTATGAGTACATGGCCGATGACATGGTCGAAGAGGAGGATCTTGAGGCCGGACTTGAAGGAGGCTAAGGAGGGTGAGGGAAGGCAGAGCGGGTCATGGCTTGAATGTGGGGGAGAAAAGACAGTTGAGGGTCGAACAAGACACCTAGGTTCCTGACTGGCTTTGTGAGTTGTAGTGTGCAACCATGGAGGTTGATGCTAACAGAGCCTGAGGTGCAGAGACGCTGGCGCGAGCCAATCAGGAGGGCCTCAGTCTTGTTCACATTCAACTGTAGGAAATTTGTCCTCATCCAGGACTTGGTGTCCGACAGGCAGTCTGTCAGGACAGCAGTGGTCCTGGAGTTGAGGGTTCAGGCAGCAAAATAAGAGTTTGGTGTTATCCATATACATGTGGAAGTTGACCCCATGTCTGCGGATGATGTCACCAAGGGGGAGCATGTAGATATTACAGAGGAGAGGGCCAAGGACAGAGCCCTGGGGGACACCAGACGTGACCGTGCAGGAGCTGGAGGAGAAACCATTAGAGGCAACAAAGTGGAGACAGTGAGAGAGATAGGAATCGAACAAGGCAAGGGCACATCTGTGAAGATTGAGTAAAGTGGAGAGGCGTTGCATGAGGATGGAGTGGTGTCAATAGTGTCGAAGGCGGCAGAGAGGTCGAGGAGGACAAGGAGGCAGAGGGAGCCCTGATCACAGGTGTTCAGAATGTCATTAGTGACTTTGACCAGGGCTGTTTTGGTGCTGTGGGCAGCGCGGAAGCCAGATTGGAGGGGTTCAAAGAGGGAATGGCGAGAGAGAAAGGAGCAGAGCTGGGACGCGACGACTCGTTCCAGGACCTTGGAGAGGAATGGGAGGTTAGAGATGGGGCAGTAGCTGTAGAGGGATGGATCCAAGGAAGATTTTTTTCAGGATGGGGGTGATGACGGCTGTTTTTAGGGGGGTGGGAACTGAATCGGTGGACAGGGAGAGGTTGATGACATCGGACAGGAGGGGGGGCCAGAAGGTTCAGCTGGGAGACAAGGAGAGAGTTGGGGATGGGATCGAGGGAGTAAGTGGTGGGTTTGAGTTTGCGGACAGTCGTGGTGAGGGAGGAGGGAGAGATAGGGTGAAGGAGTATAGGGGGGGAATGGGTGGGGGTTGGGTCATGAGGGAGAGGTGATGTGGGGGTGGCTGTGGACGGGGCTGAGGTGGCTGAACGTATCCCCTCGATTTTAGAAAAGTAACAGTCTATCAATGGATAATGGGAAAGAGCAGGGAATTGGGATTAGAGTAGTTAGCTCCAGTGGCGAGGTATGCTGGGATGTATAGTCTATAGCCTGCAGATCCAGGTCTGTTCCGGTGAGAAGAAAATGGGTGAACAGCAATTCCCAGTGTTCTTCAGTGTCTCTACACATTCACAGGACAACTCATCAAGAATTCACTTTGGTCCTGGTGAGGCTGCCTGAGAGTTTGATGACATTTTCCTGTGGTACAGGTAAGTTCACTTTGGCAATATATCTGATGTTTTAAGTTTGGGAATGTCTAGAATGCAACATTTTACATTATAATCAGAGTGATGAATAAAGGGGAGTCCCATATTCACATTTTGCATGGGAAGCAGCAGGTATATTGACAGCATGGTGATAAAAGCTGATGATAGAAGCCGTTTTATTGTCAGGAATTTATTGTACTCAGAAAACAATTGCAACAATGGCAACTCACACTTGAAAGGAGGCTTTAGGATGTATAGATTGTTTCCTATAGAGAAATACATGAATGTCACACCTACTTATGAGAACTGAAGGTTCGAACATAATCTTGGAAGTTCTCACAAGCCAGCATGACATAAATGGAGTTCCCTATTTGATGTACATCATTCCCTACAGATGTACAGAAGTGGTGTGAGGCTTAATTTACGCTGCCAGTTTCAAGAAATAGAATACAAGAGTCAGAAAATTATGATAATAATAATAATCCTTGCATTTGATATAGCGCTTTTCACGTCGGGAGGACGTCCCAAAGCGCTTCACAGAACACACTGTAAAGTGAATTGACTGTATATGACTGTAACCTCTCCTCCCTTATCCCCATTTGCTCACCCCTGCCTCACAACCGGGACCCCCCTCCCTCCCCACACACCCTTCTGTCAACCGCTCCATCCACATCGGACGACAAAATGTCCGCTCCCTCTGTAACAAGGCCCTGGTCATCAACGATCTTATCCTTGATGAGAGTGTTGACATCATGGCCTTAACGGAAACCTGGCTTACCCCAGGCGACACCTTCCCCCTCACGGAGGCCACACCACCCGGCTACACCTCCCACCACATCCCTCGCCCCAACCGCCGTGGCGGTGGTGTTGCCCTTATCTCAAGGACACCACTTGCCCTATCCCCCTACTCCTCTGGCTCTTTCCCCTCTTTTGAGCACCTCACCCTCTCCCACCCCTCCTTCCTCTCACTTAAAATCCTCCTCCTCTACCGGCCCCCTAAAACCTCTCCCACCTTTATCTCTGATATCTCAACACTGCTCACATCTCTCTGCCTCTGCTCTGATCGCCTCATCATCCTGGGCGACTTTAACCTGCACTTCACCCCCTCCTGCTCAATCTCCTCAGATTTCTCTTCCCTGCTCTCCTCGCTCAACCTCTCCCTCCACATCAACTCCCCCACTCACAGTCACGGCCACCCACTCGACTTGGTGATCACCCGGGGCCTCAGTGTCTCGGATGTCACCATCACCGATAAGGCCATCTCTGACCACCACTTCATCTCCTTCACCACCTCCACCCCCCTCCCCACCTCCACCAGACCCACCACCATCTTCTACCGCCCCTGGAAGAAGTTACCCCCTCAATCCCTAACCGCTGCCTTGGAGTCCTCTGAACTCCTCTCCCTCTGGCCTTCAACCCTCACTGACCCCTCTTCTGCTCTCACCCTCCTCCACAACACCCTCTCCTCCACACTTGACACTCTTGCCCCTATCACCTCCCGTACTGTCTCCTACTCTCGCTCCTCCCCCTGGTTCACCACCCACCTCCGCTCACTGAAAGCCAGGTGCGGGCCGCTGAACGCACCTGGGTCAAATCTGGCCTAACGGTCCACCGACAAATCTGGCTGGACCTCCTCAAAATCTACCGCTCCACTCTAGCCTCGGCCAAATCGTCCTTCTACTCCAGGATAATCCTGGAGGCGAAGGACAACCCCAGGCTACTGTTCTCTACCACATCCCAACTCCTCCGTCCCCCCCGCCACCCCGCGCAGGTCATCTCCTCCAACCTTCACTGCGAGGAGATGCTGGATTTCCTTGAATCCAAGATCAAGGGAATTCGCTCCGCGGTCACTTCCCCTCCAACATCCACCCACCACCCACCCCTTCCCTCCCACACTCCGACTCCTACCCATCCTCCCCTACACACCTTCGTACCCGTTTCCCCACCCTCTGTCACCAAACTCATCCTCTCCCTGAAACCACCACCTGCTCCCTTGACCCCATCCCCACTCCACTCCTTATCTCCCAGCTCCACCTCCTTGCCCCACATATCACAGACATCGTCAACCTGTCCCTCTCCTCTGGCTCTATTCCCATTCCCTTAAAAACTGCCACCATCACTCCCACCTTAAAAAAACCCTCCCTTGATGCGTCGCAGCTATCAAGCTACCGGCCCATCTCCAACCTCCCCTTCCTA